GCGGTGAGAGGGGGTGATTCCTGATGAAGTATTTCTATGTGCAGAGACTTTTCTTTGTTTCTCGTTTACTCTCTACGGGGAAGTTCTCCGAGTTGCTAATGTTGGGTGTTGTGGTGGATAGGTATAGAGGCATGGCGGCGCAGTCATCGAGCGGTGGGAGCGGTTCACCTGGAAAACGAGCTTCTTTGTCTCCGCAGAGCACGGGGGGATTCTCGCAAATACAGTCTCGGAACTTTGGTGAGGGTGGTGGTGGACAGCAGATGGCGGTGTTGCTGAACTGGCATGAGCGGCTGGTTGAAGCTGTTGGGGTGGGATCGATTGTTCGCGTGATGACGGATCGAAGAACGGTTTGAGAGCTCATGGTTTGGGAGTTACAATAATTCAGCGTATTAGATTCCTTTTCCGTTGTCAAACAAAGAAGCCGGTTGCCTCCAGGGCCTCCGTTAGTCTGATCAATCGTGTTGACCGTCCGAGATATTAACCAGACCGCCAGCATACAAGAATGTCTACATCACTTTTCAAAGCTTCCTCCTCCCAGCATATCCTTGAGATTCAACTCTCCACTCCCTCGCTCCAACGGTTGAGGTTGCCCGGCCCCCTCTTTCCATCCGATCATGAATATGAACCTGAATGTAGCGGGTATTCCTTTCTCTCCTTCCTCCTCATATAATGCTCTATATATAGCCTCGTTCGCCAGCAAAACGTCCCTGGACATTGGTCCAACTTCCCGTTGTTTGATGGCGTTGCTTTCCCCCATCGCCTGCAAGTCCATCATCAGGGAAAATGTATTCGGGTACTCGACCACTATATCCTCCACGTCCACTGTTAGTAGTTTAAACCCTGCCTTGTTCAGTAGATTTCCAACATCTCGAACATCCGCCAACGGCGAGACATGCGGGCTAACTCCACCTCTCCGTTCGAGATCCGCAAGTTGTAACGAGGAGCGCAACTCAAAGAGCGTGTCTCCGCCAACTATTGCCGCAATAAAAGGGCAATCTGGTTTTAAGATTGAGTTCACTTGTGCTAACACCGAGGGCAAGTCGTTTATCCAGTGGATAGAGAGGGACGATAGAACAGCATCAAAGGTATTCGGCTTGTAAGGGAGCTGCTCCAGGCTTGGAATGACATCTCTAGTAATCGATATCTCGGAATTAAAGGGCAACGATTCGTCCCGATATAGGACTGAGGGCGACTCTTCCACGCAGGTGAGTTTCGATATCCGCTTCGCTATGGGTTCGGCGGGAGGTGCGTCGGGAAGATCTGGGTTAATGTAGGGTTTTGTGAGGACGCGCGCAATATTGCAGTTATTCGCTCCAAGATCGAGGACGTTGTCGAAGTTCCTTTTAATGTCCTGAATGAGCACTCAGCAATTAGCCAATTATTCCGTCAACAGCCCCGTCCCCTGTAGTTACTCACCAGCAGCCGTTCGCTCAATCGAAAGGCGACCTCGTCTTTGAGGTAATCGACTTTCCGGCTTTCTTCAACATTTCTTGCCGCTCTCTCTTTTTGTAAGTATTTCGCTTTGCGATTGAATATTTCTAGCGTGGGATTGCCTGGGGCTTGGACCGCATAGCTCCGCGAGAGAAGGATCCTGCGACGAGGGAGGGAAAGCGGGAAACGAGGACGGAGAGACATAGAGCGTGGGTTCGGCAAAAAAGATCACGGAAACATCCCTAATCAATGGAACTGTGAAGCAGCTGTGAAAAGCAATTGCTTGATCTTCTCTGAGTTGTGGGACGTGACGTCGGTGGATGATTTATTTCGGACTCCAAAGCTTCAAAACAGTCCAAGTCTAATAAGCAGACGGTAACTAGATCAATCGATACCTTGCCCGACGAACCCATTCACTATAAAGAGTAATAGCCCGGAATCCCTTATCTGCTGCTACAATAAACTAACAGATATCTAGATCCTGATCGAGCTGGCATGAAAAGGCATTGACGTTCCCATCATCGACCGCAAAATGGCGCGCCCGCTTCCCTACACCTTTATCTCCTGCCCTTGCGCTGAGACGGCTCTCTCAGGGCAACCCACAAACCGACTGTCTAGAGATCTTTCTGCTCTCTCTCTTGCCCAACCTGACGACGAAGGCGACGAGAAAACATTCGACCCTAGATCCCCCCGAGCCAATTACTCACTTTACCCCCCAGAACACCTCCTATACTGCGAAGACTGCCACCAAATAAAGTGCCCACGATGTATTACGGAAGAGATTGTGTGCTGGTATTGCCCTCACTGCTTATTTGAGACGCCGAGTAGTATGGTGAAGAGCGAAGGAAATAGGTTGGAATTAGAGACCCGTGTGCGAGAAGACTACTAGCTAATTGCGCTTTGTAGATGCACGCGCAATTGCTTCAGTTGTCCAATATGCACATCCCCTTTACAAGTAACTACTGCCGGAGACGGAGATGGTAGCGGGAGCGCCCAGAATGGGCCATGGATACTAACGTGCAGCTACTGCATGTGGACGACCCTCGACATTGGTATCAATTTTGAAAAACCAACGAACATTCGCGCTCAACTATCGTCTCTTATCCAAGGAAGCAATCGGCGGGAATCAGCAGCAAGGACCTCCCGATTGAGATCGCCATTATCCAGTTTTTCTTCCTTGCAGGACATACCAGATGAACCAGAAGCTCATCAGGAACGGCGAATGCGCGAAATCAGCTCGGAAGATACTCAAACTCCTCTTAACCACGACGCGCGCTTTGCGGCTCTGAAATCCTTCTATCGAAGCCAACTTACGGAGACTTCTTCCTCTCCTACAGATCCGTTAATTGGCCCGGAGATTGGTTCATACTCTTCACCAAGCGCCCTAAGTCGTATCATGTCTCTGTATACCTCAGGTTTAGGCGGGTTACATGGAAGCGGCGCAAAAAAAATCAAATCTAAGCCGCCAGTTATGCGCGAAGCACTTACACAATCCGAAGGACTGTATATCCTCCACCAGGGATAGAAAACACCACGATTCAGAGAATGGCTTCGGAGGGCTGGGATGGTCTTGCATCCACTGAACAGCGATCATTTCAACCCCCAGGCACGCGGTTTGTTGCTGATCTACGGCCGCTCCCGGTTTTCCTCCGCACCAAGAGGTCCAAACGATGCAAAGCATGCAAGCACATATTGGTCAAACCGGAATTAAAACCCCAATCTACACGTTTCCGCATCCGCCTCATCGCAATCAGTTACATTCCATTGACGAATCTCCGGCCCATCGTCCCCTTACCGCCTGCGCCACCTATCAATCTAGATGCCCTTGAACCTCTCAAACCGATTCAACTACTCCTGACCTTGAAAAACCACATGTTCGACCAAATACGGGTTACCCTAGCTACACCATCAGTAACACCCGGTCGCGTAGCGTCCAAAGTTACCATTCTCTGCCCGCAATTCGAGGTCGGCGCAAACACGGATGTGTGGGACGAAGCTCTCCAGTCCAGCACCGCCCCCGATCCACGCTCATCCAGGTCGGGAGTAGAAAAGGTTGCCGAAGCGGGTAAAGTGTGGGATAAGGGGCGCAACTGGTCCACGGTGGCTATGGAGGTGGTTCCCGGATCACTGGATGGTTTGGCCGATGGCGGGATGGCCGAGGATGAAGATGTGCTTGAGATTCCCGATTTTTGTGAGGCTGGAGTGGGAGGCAGAAGGGGGGAATGAGGATTTGAATATTTCGTCGAGACCGGAATCTAAGAAGGCAGATGTGGAAATGGTGAAGAGGGAGCTGGCGTATTGGGTGGTGTTGGGAGTCGGGAGGATAAGTAGTGGTGATATATCATGATACTTGAGCTGGTTGCTGGTGCTGCTCCCAGGTTTGGAGCTACGCGCAGTCCTGGAAAACTCCATAAATGATAACAGAACTTATTAGCCTTGACCAACGGAAGCAGAATTGGATGACGCTTGTCTAGATGAATTAATCAGTAATCCCTTTCTTGACATTGTACGTTGGACTCGTCAATGCATTTCAATACAGTAAGTAGTATGCCGACAATACATATAGAACAACCGGTCACGGGATGCGAAAGGGAAGTAGAAGAAAGGGTAAGATATCTCCGTAACTAGAACCGTGCTCCATGTATTGTCATGTAGTTCCAACCTTTTTATTGCACCCTATCCGACGTTCTTCATCCACAGATAAGGTATTCAACCCAAGCTCGCTCTCCCCCCCCAATTATAAAACAGCTAAGCGGAAAAGCACAAAATGGAAGAGAACAACCATCTAGTATTCCACAGCGCTGCTTTGAGGGAACTCGAAACCGACACCACGGCCCGTCAATCTGCGGTAGACCTCGCCATATGCATCGAGACGGTGGTCAACACCACCACGCTCCTTCTCGTGGAGGATGACCTTGAGGACCTTGCTGCCATCTTCTTTTGTTCGGAGACGCTTGCCAACAATCTCAACTGGGTACACGATATCGGTAAGGATGGCGTCGTGGACGGCGGTGAGAGTGCGGGATCGTGGGCGCTTCTGGGTCAACTTGGTGCGGGAGCGGTTGGATCTCTTGGGACGGGGGAGAATGCGGCGAGAAGCAATGATGATGACTTGGCGGTCAGAGAATTTCTTCTCAAGCTCACGGGTGAGACTGGATTTGCGAATGTGTTAGCTTGAATACTCGAAAACCCGATAAGCCTATCCTTGTGTGATTCGGCGAGACTGGCGCCGCAAAATTTGAAATAGGATCTGAAATGGCGCGAATACACATACCGCTGTTGGACCTTGTGGAATCCCTGCAGGAGAGGAACTGGGACGAAGATGACGACGGCCTTCTTTCCGTGACCAACTTCGATCTAATGATACCACATATACCGTCAGCCCGGGAGCCAAAATAAATCAACGGAACTTCAAGTGTAAAGCGCATTGTCCCAATTCCAGTTCCACCTCTTTCCTCTCTCTCTCACGGCACGTCCACAGTATCCCCATTAAGCCATCAGTAGCCCGGCCACTCGCCATCTCCCAAAGTAATGGTTGACTCTCCTTCCATTGCCGCTTCCACGCAGAATTTCAACAAGGTATCGATTCCTTACCTCGCGAGCAGACACAAACTGCAATGGGCGCAGAGCAGCCTTCAAATCTGGGGTGTTGGTTTCCAAATCGCTAAGAGCATTGGCCAAAGCAGTCTCAAGCTCTGAAGGGTTTTGCCGGGACGGGCTGTTGGCAGCGATCTTGTTGAGGGCAGCCATGGTGACAGAAACGATATGGGGAAGAACAGCACAAGCGCTTCGCTGTTGCTTTCCCTGGTGTCGTTAACGGGCTCGGCGGAGGTTGGCTGGACGAAGGGTTGAAAGAGCTGGTCGGTGTTCAAGCCGTCGAGGTCGAAATTGCGCCGTGCTGTCTGATCGCAGCAACAGTTTTGTGTTTGCTGTTCGTGGACCCTCGCTTAGCCGAATCCGGCCCTTACTGCTTGTGGTTAGGCGCGAGTCGAGGCGCTAGTGTGATGCGCTTAAGGTGTGGTCACGTGGGTATTACCAAGACATTACAGTGAAGGAAGAAGAAGTCGGAATATGCACTTCGTACAGCTAAAACACTCATTTTATTCCTATTATATTACTTCTCAAATATCTACGCCTAGTCGAATTTGGGCATATCATACATATCATCTGGGTCTGAAAAGAGATCGTTAGTAGGTATCCCAGTATGTGAACTAACACAACCTAGGGAGTCTTACCTTTCTGGTTCTCGAGGATATACTTGGAAGTTGCATGGATCTCATGATCAAAAGCAGTGACGAGCTCCTGCTGCCTAAGCCTCACTCTCTCATTTCGAACTGAGCCTCCCCTGACGGCGGCTTTGGCAACATGGAAGCGCGAAACTCCATTGACCAACATCATATTAAACGGCGTTGTAGTGCTGCCTTCTTCCTTGTATGAAGCGATGCTCACACGTTGCAGTTTTGGCCTTCCAAACAATAACCCCTTCAACTCGGTCTCATAGCCGTGGTAGTTGAAGTGTACAGGTAGATCTGGGGTGAAGAGCGCATCGAATGCCTCATCAGAAAGGGAATGTGGATGTCTGTTTTCCACTCCAAGGATCATGAGATCTGTCACGTTGACCACGCGAACACGTAGTTCCGGGACGCGCTTCCTCAATATAGACGCGGCTTGGATAACTTCGAACGTAAGTTCTGTTCCAATCCCGACGATAGTGACATCCGGGTCCAAGCCATCATCTGTGCTGGCGAATTTCCACACGGAGCCTCCTGCTCGACAGTGATTTTCTGCTTCTTCGGGGCTCAAGTAAACGGGCGTGGGCTGTTTAGACCCAATCATTAGGTTAACGTAATTCTTTGACTTCAAGCAATGAGACAATGTGGAAAGAAACGTATTCGCGTCTGGTGGAAGGTAGACGCGCGCATAGTCCGGTTTTAGATTCATCACAGCCCCAATGAATGATGGATTCTGGTGGGAAAACCCGTTATGCTCTTGACGAGTCCATGTACTCGTCTCGATATAGTTCAGGCTGTATAAGTCCCTATGCCATGTTGTTTCCCGGGCCTGATATTAATAGGAGGGTTAGTTTAATCGCTTCAATGTGCACAGTGAGCGAGGTTGGGCGCTTACCATTTTATTGAACTTGGAATACTGCACCATCATGGTATGAATAATTCCAAGGAAACTTTCATATGATGGAAAGATACCAAGCCTTCCTGTCAGAGTGTACCCTTGAAGGAACCCTTGACACATATGCTCGCTGAGCACTTCAATGACTCGGCCACCTTTTGCATTGGAGAATTGATCACATTGAAAGTTTCGATTTGTATGAGCCAGGGCTTGATCAAGTTTATTGCTTTCAAGTTCATCTGGACTGAATAACCGCGCACTATGGGGGTTGTCCACAAACAATTTGTCAATGAGACCCCCTATAGTTTTCATTGAACTCTCATTTGAACCTTTTTCTGCAGCAAACTGCTTCCAGTCCGGTAAGTTAACTGTTGCTAGTTCCTTGTAGGCTTCCGGTCGCTGGCCCATCCTTTTTGAATGTTCTTTCGGGAGGATGGTCTTAATCTCCTCAATCATGTCCCCATTCTCTTGAAAGAGTTCATTTGGGCGATAGGATGACAACCAATCTTGTAATGCGTTTAATTCTTCGTCGTCCTTCTTTGCAGCGGGAAGAGGAACTTGATGCGCGTGAAAGGAGCCTTCCACGATTTTTCCGTGAATTTTTTTCGGGCCCGTCCAACCCTAGGACACGAGTTAGGCTTGGGAAGACGTAGCAGTTGACTATCCTAGAACGGGGCCTACCTTTGGCGTCCGAAGAATAATCATGGGCCATCGCGGTTTGACAATCGGATTACCGGACCGTGCGGCTTTTTGGATCTTTCGTATCTCGGTCACAGTCCAACGTAGCGCGCTGTTAAATTCGGAGTCAATATTATCTAGATCCCCAACAATTACAGGTTGATAGCCGAAACCCGAGAATAGCGCAAGAAGTTCCTTATCATCCATGCACCCGTATATCGTGCGCTCGCTTATTTTGAATCCATTGAGATGGAGAATTGGTATTACCGCACCAGACTCTGCAGGATCAATAAATTTGTAGGAATGCCAACTCCTTTTCTATTGTTAGAATCCTTTTCCATAATTCGATTTTGGTGTGAAAACTTACGCGGTACATGGCCCACTCTCAGCCTCGCCATCTCCTACGATGCAAGTAACGATCATGTCTGGCTTGTCCATTACCGCACCGAAGGAGACCGCCAAAGCATAGCCAAGTTCGCCCCCCTCATGTATTGCACCTGGAGTTTCCGCATTGATGTGACTGCTACAGTTAGCATACACGGTCGGCTTCTGCATAAACGTAGGGCTAACCTTGGAAAACCACCCGTGGTGCTAAACGTCGTAATTAATTTGGTAAGGCCACTCGTATCTCGTGAATAATCGGGGTAGAATTTTTCCAGAGATCTTTCTAACCAAAGAGAAGCCAGGATTGCGGGCGCTCCATGGCCAGGGCCGATAACAGCCAGCATATCAAGGTCATATTCGCAGATCAGATAGCTGAGGTGAGAATAAACAAAATTTATACCGGGACAGGTTCCCCAGTGACCTTTTAACACAATAAGTATTGGTATCACTATCAGATTTGGGCGGAGTGCGTCTCCCACATACCCAACAACCGGGGCTTGATATCGTCAAAAGTCAACTTGCGTTTTAAATACGCATTGTCTCGGAGAAATATCATCGCTTGGTATCATTAGCTTCAGCAGTAAAGCTAAATTAAGGCTGCCCATGAAGCTCACCTGCCGCGATATAGTTCGCAGCCCGACGGAACTTGGCCAGGGAATCAATGGCATTTTTGTCTAACGGTCTCACGTCCAGCTGAATCCCCAACTCATCGAGAGACTCGGGAAGGTGAGAAGGCAAAGGCTTCGGATTTGGCTTATCAATAACTTCTCCAGGCATTTTGGCTCCAATTCAAGCAGGAAGCTTGGCCTATAGTTTCAACCGTAGACGTCGTCTGGCTTGAGATGAAGGACTAAGACAGAGCAGATATAGAGAGCAATTGACTCTCTACACAAGCAAACAATTGTAGCCATCATTTCAACCAACGGATTCGTTGATTGGCAGGCATTCAATCACGCAGTTCGACGTCACAATCCATAGCTGCTGACATCACAAAGTTGGAAACCAGGACGGTAAGTGCATCGATCCGGGGATCTTGAAGCGTATTTGAACGACGCAAAACACATTGTATAGAGGCTATGGCGAGGAATCCAAAGGATATTTTTCCATCATGGGAGAAGCAATTCTTGCAATCAACGCCGGCACGTCGTCGGTGGGCGTCACCATCTTCAACCGCGAAAACCCGCCAAGGAAAATCGCAACCGCCAAAGTGGCTGGAATCACTGCACCGCCACGGGTCTTCAAGTATGCGCACGGCGACACCAAACAGAGCAAAGAAATCGAGGAGCAAATAGACACTCCGCAGAACGCATTCAAATACCTTCTGACACATTTCCTCAATGACTCTGAACTGGAAATAGCTGGCAAAAAGGATGACATTGCCTACATCTGCCATCGGGTTGTGCATGGCGGTGACTTCAAGCATGAGGCGGTGATTACCACCGACACATTTGGCTACCTCGAAGCGCTGCAGGACCTTGCTCCCCTGTAGGTATACAGAGCTAAATTCTTAGGCTTGCTTTGCTTATACACGAATAGACACAATACGGCATCTTTGGACATCATCCGAACATGTCTCAATGAAATTCCAAACGCGAAAAGCGTGGCATATTTCGATACAACCTTTCACCAGTCACTCCCAGACTATATCAAGACATATCCCGTTCGCCAGGACGTTGCCAGGTCGAATTGGCTGCGAAAGTACGGTTTCCATGGCATTAGTTATAAATTCATCGCGCGCTCCGTCGCAGAGTTCCTTAAAAAACCCCTGGACTCGACGAACATCATCGCCCTCCATCTCGGTAGTGGCGCATCTCTATGTGCCATTAGGGCTGGAAAACCGATAGATACTTCGTGAGCAATCCGTCATCGGCTTGCCCAAAGGTGGTGGTCAGCGATTAACGTTATGTGGTAGAATGGGCCTTACGCCTCTTGCTGGACTACCGGGAGCCACACGCAGCGGAGACATTGACCCAACGTAAGTATTCTAACTCTGGAAAAAGGCCATCCGTTCATAGACTGACATCTTTTAGGCTGGTATTTCACTATACATCCGAAGCGTCTAAATTGAGCTCGTCAAGCACCAAGGATATGCGCCTCACACAGGTATGACCTCCGAGAAATGCATTGTTCAATGTCGCCCGCATGTCACTTACATGTGGATTTCAGGCCGAAGAGATCCTAAACAAACAAGCTGGTTGGAAGGCTCTTACGGGCTCAACCGATTTTTCCAAAATAGCGACAGAAAGTCCCGAAACGGACATGCACAGGCTAGCATTTGATATATTCGTCGACCGCATCGTTGGCTTCATCGGAAGCTATTTTGTTAAACTAGACGGAGTGGTTGACGCGGTAGTATTTGCAGGTGGTATTGGGGAGAAGAGCGCAATCCTTCGAAAGGCCATTGCAGAAAAATGCCGATGTCTCGGATTTTTGATTAACCAGCAAGCAAACTCGAAAGATATCGCTGATGATGCACATACTGTGACTGATATGTCTGCAAAATCTGGCCAAAAACCGGCGGTATTAGTTTGCCAAACTGATGAAGAGGTATCAGATCCCAGGTTCCGTTTCTCCATTGTTCTCTTATGCTAACAATGATCTCCCGGGCAGTTTGAGATGGCCTACCAATGCGTTAGTAAACCCCCTTGACTGGGACGTTAACCAACAGTTGCGAATCGCCCAGAAACGGAAGCGTAGTTCAGATAATACATCTATCAGGTATTGGGCTTGGACGGAATACGCCGTGTTTTTTATGCCAGTCTCTTCAGAAAATTGCTTTTTGCGTATGAACAGTCTTGGAAATATTCATTAGCACGTATCAGAAATGAGAATAGACCCGTGCAATACTCCGCACATCTATGTGAGATCCCTTCTCAACGACCCTGCCGGCCTTTCATGACGTAGTTAGTGGCCGATGTTGTTTTCCCCAGGTATTCGGAGTCTTTGTCCATTGAGCGTCGTTTGTAAACTCTATGCACGACTTCCGTGCTTGAAGGGAGCACATACGCAAGATCGAGTTTCAAAAGAATACGTGCATAAATCAAGTTTCGATACCCCTCCGTGTTTCCATATTTGGGGACATCATCGCCTGGGAGTACACAAAGACACGGCTCGGATCCAATTCTGCACCATGCGCCCAGCCGCTGGCTGTGGTGTGGATCGAATTCGGGATATATGGAGATCACGCCGCTGACCGAGTAGCAATCAAGTGTTGCAGGCAAACAATTTCGAAAAATTTGGCTTGCTGCAACAGGAATGTGGCGCATGCGTCGTTAGGCCTGCGAGAACCCCTCCTGTTCTTTATGCCACATAAAGAACGGCATCCTCAAACCAACAGCTTGTTAAACGGTGTGTATGATCTTCCGTAGACTGACCAGAAAACAGAGGCATCACTTCCACACAAGAGTCGATCGAAACTTTCTCGACTAGAAGGGCACAATTGAGAGTGAAAAACGATGGCTCCCGTTTGTTGATTTCTTTATTTCTCCCAGCTGGAGAGGTCAAACCAATCACAGAATAAAGCAAACGATCCGATCGACAAAGGTCAGAAAAGAAAAAAGGGCGTTCAAAACGGGCTTGATCCAGTGTATTTCAAGGATTTCTCAGGAATCGACAGATCACAGCACATCACAAGGGATCAAGCAGGCTGGTATCATCGCCAGATCGACTTGGATACCAACCCTGTCAACTGAGCGTCAAATCAGACCTTGGGATATACATGATTCACATCATATTATCACGCCACAGATCAAATTCGACATGTAGAATTAAGCGACCATAGGCGCCTCTTGTTTTTTTACCCGCACGCGGCACAGGAAATGTGAAATGAACAGGGCCCGGGCTTCGTCCCAGCGCACTGGTTATAGTTGATCGAGTCTCCGCCGCCGTGCAGTCCTCCAGTCGAGTCGGGGATATTCCGGGAATCGCCCGCAAAAGCCAAAAAAGAAAAAAAAAGAAAAACATGCCGCGTCAAGAGTGAACCAGGTTGGTCCTATGAGTTTGGTCAGAATTCAGATATACGGGACGGGGATGTGAAAAGAACCCTGGCTAGGGGTGGAAAGTGGCCCGCGATCGTCCCAGCCAGGCGGAAGCCAACAACAGGAACGCGTTCTGAGAAGAACCCTGCTCGGGGAATTCGGGGAGCTCGACTATCAATCCAGCGAGAGTCGAAAACGGTTTCTCCTTTCGACCTCTAAGCAAACGACCAGTAACTAAATGAGTTTGAGGCCCCCCCCCTTTTGGTAGTTCCCGAACTTTCAGTTGCCACTTCGCTTCCCAGCCGATCGCCAATTCGGTCTATCGAATCCCAAATCCATCGAATCCCCACCAGGAGCGAAACCAGCTTCCTTCCCGAGCGCTCCCTAACCAGCACATCTCTGCCTTCGCCTCAAATGGTCGCGTTTTGAGCAAAATGAGCGAGCCACGGTGATGTCATTGATTGGTTTTGGGGGCTGCTCGGAATAGACGGGCCGCGCCACTAAAAGAAATATCCCCCCCAGGCGGATTCTGATGGCAACAAGATCGCCTGTTGGTGTGCCAACAGCAGAAGCCAAATCGGGCATTCAAGGCGCATTCTGGGCTGGCACGTTTGCTGAGCAATTCCGCTGTGAGGAAATATTTCCATCTTGCAAAAAAAGCAACTTGTGATAGTCAGCCTTGGTGTCTCCCGGCCCCATTCCAACAACCACCCCATCGGGGATGGGAGCTCGCCCACGCGGAAGTCAATCAAACCGTTCCCGCGTCCAGACCCAAGGGTGGAATCATATTGCTGATATCGTGAGCTTACCAAGGAGATTTTCGGCCCTGCACCAGTTAACATCAAGAGAAAAGATAACACCGCAAGCCTTCCGTCAGTTCCTGTTGTGAGGCGGCATTCTAGCTTGATTCAACGATCCAGACAACCCCTCAGGAGATGCACATACTCCGTACAGGCCAAATACCTTGAGCCATCGAACCACCCGTGTCCCAACGCCGTCATAACAGTATGTTTGAAATACGATGTATTCCAGTCCTTTCCAGGTGGAAATGGGGTCATCAAGTCCGGCGGGTTCCGAACTATCGCCAGGATGGCAGGATCTCGTTCTCGATCCAGTAGGCTGATTACATCGTGTTGGGTTTTGCAATCGGTTCTCTATAACCCGTAACTTACTCTAGACAAAGTAATCGCCTACCGCATGCAGTGCGGTCTCTAGCCCTACGGGTACCACTTTCAGCATGACATGGATGTCCGCACTGTAATATTTAGTCACAACTCAGCTCTACGGAGGACTGATCTATTTTAATGTCAAGGATGGAGAAGGTGAATGGTGTCATCACATTGAATTGCAGGCCGAGGCCGCTGGGATAACTGGGAGCCTGGACGATCCGTCCGTTTCTCACATTATGAGCCAATTGCAAATGGATGTTGTTTCAAAGGTCATCCTGGCTCCCTTCAGGATTAGATTGGAGAAATTTCTACGTCCTTCATCACGCTTGATCCATCATCGCAGGACATGTCGTCTCGAAATCAGGATCGGAGGATCAAATCTCAATCTTCCTGAATCCTGCAACTGCAAATGAATTGAAATGATTGACGCCTGCAAAATTTCCCAAAGGTTTGCCTGAGCGTCCATGCGTATGGTCTTCAGACAAATGGAAAGGGCACTTCTTGATTACGCGACAAACGGCAATTGTGTCGAAGAGCAGCTTCTTTTTTCACGCACGCGTTTGATGACGCATGTTCCAGATGAAATCATGCGAGAATGCCCCAGTTTCGTTGGTATCAGGTTGAGTCTGGACTGTTGGAATTCTAGACCTTTTCAAGCAGCAAAAGCTTGGCCGCCAAGACTTGTGGAAAGCTGATATCAAGCCTCACGCAAGACTTTGGAAGGGGGCCGAGAGAGCCTCAAGAAATTAGGGACCCAACAGCATTGGTGTGAAGGGGGAGAAACAAACTTCGGCTGGCAGAGTACCTGGCGAAAGAGGCATCTTCTCACATGCGTCGATCTGAGGAAACTCTACTGGGGAATTGAAACATGCTTGATCCTGTTCAGGAAACCATGGATCAGAATCTTACAGCGTCGAGCTTTACGGGAGAAGTGGCGATATGGGGAATAATGGGGGAGGATCGTCTCCCTTGATGATCTGATGGATATCGTATCGATTGACGACGGCTTTCAATCTCCCTCCAACGACAACCGATTATTTATTGGAGGAGTTATTAGGCTGGCCATCTCGGAAGATTCGGTCTAGATTTTCGGGCTTGACGATGTGTTTCAGACCATGGCTTCTTGAAGCTTTGGGACACTTTTGGCATTATTGTTGAGTGGAAGTTATTTCCGGCCCTCCTCTGAGCTTTCGAATCACCAAGTTGGCGTGCATGTGCGCCACGATGTTTTGGACTGGAGTCTTAGAGCAACGTGGAAGACAAGCATGATTTTGAGGGATGGCACGTGTGATGATGAGCTTGGCTTTGCATCCGTGCCGCGCGCCTGGAGGGCCATCCGGTCAACAGGCAGGAAACGAAAGAAAAGATTCCCGCAGTTATGTAGGGTGTCGATATGGGAAGAAGGAGAAAATAATAATTCGTGTCCATGTTCCCTGTGCGACGGCCATGGGTTGAGGATGGGGCACATGCCGAAAGAGCTTCTCTTGGGTTTCTAGACGTGCGATGGTGGGTTCAGAGCCAGCGATCTTTTCCGCTGATAGGGCGCTGCGTCGTGGAGCCGAAAGGGGACCACAGCCGCCCGCGGTGCAGCCAGGGGCAGTGCGCGCTGCTGATTGGCGGGCCTGGCTTCGCTTGGTGCCCCCGACCCACTCCCCCACGTGATTATTCCGCGTGGATCGCCGGCTTGTTGTGTCACCAACCTCCACGGCGGGAGTGGGCAGTCGGTTCGCGCCGAGTTGGATGGCACAATCGCAGCAGGGCGTGCTGAAATGGGCTGGGCGAGGTTGCCTAAAATGAACGGAAACAAAGTCGTGGTCTTCTGACTCAGGGCGTGTTATAGGTTGATTGAAGCAGGGGGTGGGTTGCATCGTTGTTTGGTATGCGTATGACCCCGGAAAACCAGAGTTGCAATTTCGATAGTCAGCCCATACCCAATTTTCAGCGCAGATAGAGAACGCTGGAAACATGCGACAGTTCGAGCATCGACGTGGGACGGTTGTTGGTGAGGCTGAACCACCAATCTCAACGGGGGCGCGTCAAAGCCCGCGCGGTGGGACTTTTCTTGCTCGTCGAAGCTGACTTTTTGCAGAACTCTGTCAAGGCGAGATCATGCATAAGCCACGTGTTAACTGTGTCATCCCTGCACCACCGGGTGCGTCAAGTGGTAAGATAATATAACTCATGGGCAATATTTCGAAGTCTCGCAATTCCATTTCAACGGCGAAGAATTACGAGAGCACCATGACACTCCCTTCCAACGCAGACGCAGCTGGACTGGTCCGAGCGGATCATCTGAGATTCGTAGCAGATTGCTGGGTCAATCGGCACTACCGTTTGAACAGATGGATGACGTTTCGGTTCATATCCGCTCCTTGATTCAGATCTTGACGGTGATTCGCGATTGACCAAAGGGAACCAGCGGGTGGCTTCCGTGTGAAAGGCGTTCCGTGGCTAGCTGCCGCTTCTGGAGAGCTTTGCAAATACGAAGTCGCAGCAGTGATAACAAGAAACAGAGCCACAACATGACTGGCTGGTGTGAAATTGCATTGACTGTGTCCTCAATGCTCTCTTCCTGTGCCCATCCCGTTTGCGATGGTGGCGGGCGACGAAGCGGCAGTCAATCAGTGGATTCCCAACCAAACTGACCCGCCATTCGTGACGCAGGAACAGCAGGTCGCCGTGCTAGATCGACGTCCCAACCTTCTTGGAAGAAATTCCTCTTGGAGTTTGAAGTTGAAGTCTAGATGTGGTTGGCGTTGAAGATGCCAATCCGATGCGGAAGGTAAATTGGCATGATTTTTCGAGAGCGAAAGTCAACTCTGGCAATACCGTAAATGACGGTCCTGAACATGGGTGGGTAGGATTCAATATTACTAGGGCCACACTCCCGGATACCAAATACCAGGATTGGTAATTACTGCGTTCACCACCAACAAAGAACTCCCATCCCAACTGTTGACTGCACCCAGGGCTTTGTTCTGCATTTGCCCTCAATCAAACATGCGGCTGCGCACTCGACCACTGTGTCAGAAGCACGATCATCATCGAGACGTGCGTGTGGGCGATACAGTCGAGAAAGGTTGGTGGCTGGTGTTGAAAATCTTGGTGATTGCTTACTAGTGCTGATAATATCAGACAAGCAGCCCTAACGGCCGTCTGACGAGGGAACTCCCCCCTGGCTTCCCTCAGCAACCCTGAAACACAGGACTAGCACTCCCATTCTCTGGATAGCGCCCATCCTGATCCACCCAGTGGAAGGCCTAGAAAACAAGCTAGAATCACCCTCGCGAGAGCTAATTAAGATGAAAGAGGATAACGGTCATTGGCCCCAACCCATCACGCGCTGTGTATTTTTTCTAATAGCATGGGATGAAAAAGAAAAGAAAGGGACAACAGCAGATTGGCTGTGGACAAGGAATTCATCGCCAGTCAAAATTGCAAAAAAAAAGACTCGCCATGATTTTGTTTCGGGTATCGACCCAGCTTGCTATAAGTGCTTATTCAAGGCTGCATAACTTTCGCAAGGCAGGATGCATTGCGTCTATTTGTTTAAAACCTTATCCGGGCAGTATGAGATTTTCCAGTTCTCGAGACTCTAATGGTTGCAGATACTTCTGGAGTAGAGAGAGTGAAAGGGAGAGCAAGCAGTGCGGTGCAGAGGGAGCGCAATGTGGCATGTCACAAATTGAGGGCAAATGAGGAATCCAAAATGAGATCGCATTTTCCCCTGCCACTTGGGTAGCAGCCGCTTCGACATGTTCAAAAAAAAAAAAAAAAAGAATGGGAAAAAACAAAAGCGAATCCATCGTCCCATGAAAAATCCCTCCGGAGCACCGACGGGGTACCGGCAACGTTATTGGAGGCGTTACAGGTAACTACGGTAATTAGCCTCCAACGGCAGGTATCCACAAGGTTCCCTTTTCCAAGAATACATCCAGGCACAAAGAAGAATAATCCCTAACTCAACTAAAATAATAATGACAGGTAAAAGGAAAGTAAAAAAGAAAAAATTTATTTTAGTTGTCTGAGCCAGGATAGGGGTGCCAGTTCAACAAGATTGCTGTTTCGTATGGACTCTCAACTAGTGTTAAGAGTATTAATATATGCTGCCGCCCTCCCGCGTCTGACTGATCTGAGAACTTTCTTCCCTTCCTTGATATTTTTGATTCATTGTCCGTTGGCATCCTCTTGAGGCCTTGAAGCTGGTTCATCATCCCTCTATCTCTCCCCCGCTTGCTCCCCTAATATACCTCATCGCTCCCGCATTCGTGGTCACATCACCGTCTCACACCAGCTGCCTGCCTGTTGCCTCGGTTCCAAGCATCATCCGTCTCAGGGGATTGCTAGAGAAATACTTGATATATCCGGGTATTCTCGCCGCTCGTTTTGTCTAGAAAAAGCATCCCATCTTCGCCCGGACCTTTGGAAGAAGAAGAAGAAGAAAAAATAAAGCCAAAATAAAAAAAGTTCCGCTGAAAATACAATAAGTCGAGGCCATATCGAAATCTGGCTTGCCGTTCCTTCACTAAAGAAATATTGACGATCTCCGTCCGAATCTCGATCTGAATTTGCAAACCATCCGCATACTACGCCTGTTTTTTGATTGCTTTTCGTTCCGTCGGCGTCTCGACTCCTTGCGAAATCTGTGTTTGCCTCAATTCTCGTCCCAGGTTAGTGTTGGAAAGGATTCTCGTTCAAGGCCAACCTTTTCGGAAGCATATGCTAACAATTGCAGTCTTCCCATTATGATACTCAGAGATCTCTCAGCCACAAACATGGGCCGTGGTGCTTATGATACGACAGGCGTTCCGAAGCCTCAACAGCCGCCGAAACCACGGTAACCGATCGATTCCAAAGCCAATCGTGCAGCGTCCAAAATACACCAAATTTTTTTATAATTACCCATTCAGCTTCACTTTCGACGCCATTCCTTTGATGCGGCACAATCCGCAGAAGAACCCTTTCAGCCATACCGAACGGAACGCAATTGGTCGAGCCATGCGTGATGTTCCCTTTTTGCCTTTGCCGGTGCTTTCTTCTTCAGCGCTGCCTTCGATTGTGCCGATCAGCCAAAAAAAAGACTTCCCATGCGGACACCCAGGAGTTCGCACCACCTGGATTACGCCTACTAATACCTTTTCCTGCAAACACCCCGACTAATAATACGCCCCTACCCTTGCGCCCTCTCTCGTCCTTCGCTACGTCCTCGTGCACCTTTTGTCGAACGATCATATCTCGATTTCGTTGCTTCTTTGTTTCTTGTGATACCAGAATGACCCATTCATATTGTTCCGGCGTTTAAAAACATAGACGGTTGGGGGCTGTTTGTCATTTTTTTTTTCCTCCCTGATTCCCTTTGATGGCATATACCAGCAAGATTTATTAGACTCCATTTTGACTTCGCGGTCATTTCTCTTCTTGTGTTCTAAAAAATCCTCCCTTTTCCCCCTTCTCACCCAATTTTTTCAGCGACTTTTTTTAATCCTGTTGGTGCTTTATATTCTGTACAACGCTAGTGGCAATGTGGGTGTGAGCGAAAATCATCGATCAGGCGCTAGGAATTGCTGACTTCCCTTGTTTCCAGCCTTTTCCGGGTGAGGTGTCGGTGCCTCGGTATTCTGCATTGCTTTCTTCATTTGTATCGGGTCCTTTGTGTTATTTTTGTGAAGATACGTATTGACGATTCCCCTTTTTTGAAAATCGGAGCAGGATCTCCTTATGTCCCTTGGTAGAATGTCTCCTAGTATATCCCCTTTTTCCTTCTTCTTTCTATGTGGGCATATCGGTTTTCCTTTTTTCGGGGCTGCACTTGGTACTGACGACAATGTGACTGCCTGATTTATCATCTTACCATGTTTATTCATCCATCGTAAGGCGTCCTCTATTTAATCTCCGCTCATGTGTAACCCAGCAGCCACGCCGAGCTTCACACGACTGTTTCGGGCCTTTGAAACAGGCACTTTAGCATTCGGGGGACGGGAAGATGGGTGTATCCTGGAGGCCATGTGCATATAATACACACATGGTATGCCCCAACCCCACCGGTCCCTTGGTCCTTTTGTAGCCTTGTTCCACCACAACCTTGAGGAACACAAAATGGAATCCGGAACTCCTTGGGCTTGGCATGGAAATATACGGTCACGTGATGCATCGCTCGGCAACCGTCGTCATCGCCCGACAGCGCGGCTATGCTAGTCCCAATCCGGCAAGGCTCCATCATTGCCGCCAACCTCCACATCTTCTGAGTCGCAGGCGGTCTTCATCGCTGCATTGATTCCACTCAACACGTCTTCATGACCCGTTATCCTTATATCTTTGTAATCATTAAAGACCTCTAAACCTGGGGATTGCTGCGTTATTGAGCGTCCTCGCTGCCGTTTAAGGACAATCGTTTTCAAACTTCTATTGTTTATTCAGCGTCCTCATTCTAGTGACCTTCTTTTAAACACGACTCGCACTCGAGTAACTAACAGAAGTCGACATATTCTTCGGTCACGGAACCATTGGCATTTGCTTTGCTTCAAATCCTTTTCATACCAGTTTCTCCCCTTTCGTGAACAACGATGTCAGATCCAACGGCAACTCCTGGCCCCAAGCCATCTAGCAGCGTCAAGCTGGTTCTACTTGGTGAAGCTGCTGTTGGAAAGGTATGTTGACGCCTTAGAGTCCAAGAGGCTTGCTACCGAAATGGCTGATCTGGGATGTAACTTAGTCCTCGCTCGTCCTTCGATTTGTTAATGATGACTTCCAAGAGAACAAGGAGCCGACCATCGGTGGTACGTACTATGCGCCCTTTCAGATACTCCCCCTATCTAACGCTCAATCTGTTTGATACAGCTGCCTTTCTGACGCAGAAATGCTCTCTCCCCACGCGTACAATCAAGTTTGAAATCTGGGATACCGCAGGCCAAGAACGTTTCGCTTCCCTCGCGCCAATGTACTATCGAAACGCACAAGCTGCCCTCGTCGTCTACGACCTCACTAAGCCTTCTTCCCTCACGAAAGCGAAACATTGGGTCGCCGAACTCCAACGACAGGCAAGCCCGGGCATAGTTATCGCGCTGGTTGGCAATAAGCTCGATCTCACAAATGATGGAAACGGAGAGGGTCCGCCGTCTGCCAACGACACCGCGGAAGCAGCAGAATCTTCATCAGCGGATGGTGGTGATGAGGAAGAGAATCCGGGTGAACAGGCTACTACACCTGGCGATGCAAGAAAGATTTCTACGCAGGAAGCGAGCTCATATGCAGATGAAGAGGGCCTCTTATTCTTCGAAACGAGCGCCAAGACAGGTGTTAATGTTGCAGAGGTTTTCACGGCTATCGCAAACGCCATCCCAGAAACCAGTCTCAAGCCTCCCAGAGGAGCAGGTGGCGCTGGTGCTGGTCAGACCAATTTAGGATCCGGAAGACCAGGGGAAGATGCGCGAGTCAACCTTCGAGAGCGCGGTGCAGCTACTGCAAAGGAAGGCTGTGCTTGTTGATTTGCTCTATTTCATTTTGCCTGGTGTGACCGCCTTGCTTTCGTCGCATGTATCAATGGATCCCATGCCTGCACTTTTGCTGTTTACTGGCGTGATAAGGCGGGTATTTTTACACATTGTCCTCCATTGGCCTTTTGTCCTGTTCGATAAGGATAGAAGAGCTGCATTATGAATGATATGTTCACCATTGAGTTACCTGGAACCTGTAATGGGTGATGGTTTTTTTATATCCGTCTGATGTCTTGCTGAACACCGCACAGGACCCAAACAGCTAATACGTCATAGGAGGTTCTCTTATTTGTCTTTTAATAAAGGCCAGAGATACATATTTTTCGTGCAATCAACTTGATAGTCAAAATCAATGAGCCAAAAATTCCTACCGAACGTGGAGGACCCTGAATTGCATTACCTGAAAAAAATAAATAAATATATACTTATACAAATGTGCCGTACTCCTCTTCAAACAACTTCATCCCCCCAAAGCCACGCAGAAGCAGAAAAGAAATTGAAAACCAATTTAAGAAATTTCAAACGGTTTAAATTCAAAAATCAGCACAAAAAATGCAAAGGTAGTTACTAATAACAAGAAGAGCTCTGTCATACAGATGAAACAAGAAGGTAAAGAAGAAGATTAGCACCAACGCGCAACTTTTTCTTCCAGCCCTAAAAAAAATACACAATTCGACTTGCAAAAACAGCGTATAGTTTCTGGGCAAATTAAGCACAATAGACCACGCGTAAAAGACATCCAGTTCACTGGATCGAGTATACCTCACCAGTGTACCAGGGTATCAGGATCGCCGCCACCCCTCCACAAATGTTGCCTTGCACATTGTGAATTATTTTGCTGACCAGGGCTTGCTTTGACCGGTATTATGATATATTCGCCTTGTAAATCTTCGTCCAACGGCCATCATCTCCGCGATGCCCTAGAATCTATATCCAAAGCATCCCCCGCATCAATCCATCCGTACACCATGCCATTAGCAAGATTCGCTGCCGTCCAAATCAGCGCCCATCCTACCGCTCCCTCAATGCCCACTCCATTGATCGTCCCCACAAGCTGGACAACCGTGTTAGCAAAGGTCATTGCAGCCAAGGATATTGTTCGGGCAGTCAACGTCTTTCTTTTCGCAGGCAGAGGAGCCCAATGCTTTCGATGCAAAGACGTCACGAATAACTCCCCTTGGCGCTTCACGTACTCCGGTCCCTCATCCTCCGCATGAGGCTGGCCAATAGAGCTAACGAACAGGAAGTCCCGTGCAGCATAACCGGCAGGCAAGAGACTGACAAACATGGGTATAAGCCCTTTCGCGCCCTCGTATGCGGCTTGAATACTAGGTAGACCCTCAAAATGGGTAACGAGAAATGTGGGTAGCCAGGTCGCAAAGCTCAGGTAGAGTGCGACTGTGTAAATGGCCGCCGAGACGAGAGAAGTGTAAATTGCGGTTGGGCGATCGGTGAGGACGGGGCGTTCAAATGAAGTTGTTAGAGAGTGGATGCGATTGGTGCGTCGGAAGTAGAAGAACGGCAACGTGGTGGAGATGGTATTGATGGCGGCGACTGTAAGGATAGTCGTCGGTCGAAGGCCGTAGAAGCTGTAGAGAAGGACGTACGTCGGGAGATTGATGAGTCCAACGAAGCTGGTTATATCGCGAGCTGGGAAATTCAGTTTCAATTAGCAACTTCTACCGTGTGTTTTGAGCTGTTGACGAAATGCGGGAAAATGCTGGAGCTCACCGTCATATCCCAGCGCCCACGCCGTTCCAATCTCTAGCACACGCCATCCCAGCAATGCCGCAACATACACCCACGAATCCAAATGCTTACTCGTCCACGCAAGATCACCCTGCGTGATCGGCACACTCAGGGAGAACAGCAACGTGCTCAACCCCAGACTGCACGCTGTCACAGCGACGAATTCAAGAAAGGAGCGGGCAGTGGAGTCCCATATATGCCTTTCCTCTAGAACTGAGGTCTTCTTGGCCACTGATTTGCGCCTTCGGGGACTTGGGCCCGTGGTCGACGTTGCCGTGGCTGATTTCCGGCCCATTATTAGTTTTGGTGCAATAGACAGGGACTGGAGTGAGAGGAATTGGGAATAGAACTGATTTCGGACAGATAGGCAAGGAGAGCAAAAGAATCAGGGCAGTTTCAGTCCATTGACAAGCAGTGATATAGAGTACAGCATTGAGAAGCGTGGATGGGTATAAGCTGGTCTTGTTTTGATCAACAGCGGGATTGCGCCGGAGCGAAGTGATGTCACTGTTTGTCTGATTCCCTGGCTGCTGATTGGCTGAGCTTAATGGAGCTTCAATGCTTACATAAACACACAGTTAACTAGTTAACGTTATTTGATACGAGGCAGTTGTCACTCAAAATGTTTGATCCGTTATTATTATGGCGAAGTTCATGAAGAAATGGTCTCATAATACATACAAAACCGCAACCAGGCGAATCCAGATATAATAGAAATATAAAAGAATGTCGAAAAATAGAAAATGAGCCAGAGAGACAGGGGGCCAAAAGATGTTGCAGTGAAGCACGTCTCTATCAATCATCGTCTTCGTTCTCCGTCTCCGGCTTGACCACGCCGATTTCCAACGTTCCACTCTCCCTGCCCTTGTGGTCACGCATGACGGCCTTGAACTTACCGTTGTGCCAAAAATCCTTGACGGTAACTTCACGGGTTCTCCCCAAACTTTCAATATCAGAGATCCGGTCCAGTGTGGCTTCGAGGTGTTCGTTAAATCCAGGCTCGGAGCAAATTTCTCGAAACGCACGTTGCATGGGGACCGAATCAGCACGCACCATTGCCCTGGAGTCAATAGTAAATATATTGTCATGGTCGTAGCTTTGAATAAAATCTGCTCTGGTCATCACTTGGCGGGCTTTGTGGAGTGGCATTTCTGGGAGAATATGTCCATTTTCGGCGTCATATGTATGCTCCATTTCTTCTTCCATATCGACAAGGGCCTTGGCTAGTACCATTGCAGCAGACTTGGTTCATTTGGTCAATTCCGTTTTAACGCGCCGGCGTGGGACATGGGAACATGGACTTACGGAATATTTCTGCTCATCCATAACGTCGTCGTCCATTTCGGCGCCCAATATCCAGCATTTGTTCAAAAACCAGGTCTTCTCGGCCTGGCAAATCGCGTCGCATGCTTTGATCATATCCGGCATTTTGGCCACTCGATTCAAAAAGGTTAATCTACCGCCAACTTTGTCATATACTTCTTCTAGCACGCTCCTGGGAGTGTCCTCGTTGCGGTATTTCGCACGAAACTGATACAACGCCCTTATTGCTTTGTCTTTCGGAAGATCAGGGACTGGAATGACCTCCATTCGAGAGGCATAGCGCTTAAGACGCTCGTAGACCCAGTAATCATCACTGTTGAAAACTTGAAGGCGGCATGTTAGAGGAAATTCCACTGATAACCACTCCCGGTGAAATCAAAGAGCTCACCTATTGTCACAAGATTGCTTGCAGCCCACTGTTCAGCCCGCTGCTGCAACATCTCTAAAAGATCTCTTCCGTCATCATCGTCACTAACCAGATGGGTGCTATTGATTATCACGATTAGAGGCGTCTTGCTGGTTTTTCTTCTCCGTAAGGCGACCTTTTCCATTTTATTAAGAGCGCGCTCAATGTCGAGGAGTGCAGTTGTATCGCGTGGCCCTCTGATGCTGAAAAGGCTACCAATGTAGCTAAAGGGAAAATTTAGCATCCACGAGAAGTATTGTCTTTTAAGTAGATAAGAAACCTACTCCTCGTGATATTCAAAATCCAGTGCCTTTCCTAACCTGACCCGAAAGATTTCGAGGTCTGCATGAGCTTCGAACATGGCCACTCCGGCGCCATCAATTTTTCGCATTGCATCAAGGATCATGGAAGTCTTGCCGGTTCCCTTCTCCCCGATTAAAAGAAAATAGCGACCTTTGATGGTGCCGTTGATGATATTATCCACTTTGACCTGCTCTTCACGTTGAATCCAATGTCTTGTGTCGCTTCCTTCAGTTCCCATTGAGGGAGCAACCCCGGCGACTTCCAGTACAGGATCACCGGGGTTGAATGCATTGTCCATCTTCTTAAGAACCAAGAACTTGTAGTACTTGTAATAAGAATAGCCCGCAAGTCTGCATATCGAAAGTTAGAGACGGAATACAAATCTCTGCTGAGACAGCAGTTTTCTTACCCTAAGACGGCAATTGAAGCGAACGTTGTCGCAGCAGATTCAAACATGCGCAGGCCAGTAGATTTCAAAGTAGGGCCATCATCTTTGGACTCCCTTTCCGATACGTCTGGCGTCTCTTGTCCGGGTTGCGGAGGGCCTCCAGGGTTGAGGTCTTGAGAGCCATATTGGCGAATTCGAGGCACTGCCCACGGCGCATAGACCGGCGGGATGATATTTCTTCTTAGGCCAAAGACAACCCTTGTGCGAAACAAGCCCAATGGCATAATGGGTCTTTGGACATGAGCTGATAAATTAGATTATTGCTACAACAACTAGAATTCTAACTTCCTGCTTGAACCGGGAAAGGGGGTATCGAACAACTCCGCCGGACACAGCGCCAACGGAAAACCAGGAGAGAAGGAAAACAAAAGAGTGACGATGGCCCAGCTGCTGGACTGCACTTGGTTCCAAATGAATGTGTTGAGCGAGAAACAATTCTGTGCTGTTTTGAAGCAAAACGATCAGTGCTTTTTTGAAACTGCCAGCCACTCCAGCTGCGCCACGCCCCATCCCGATCCAGCGCTCACGTGGTTGATAAGATCGGAAATACCTCCGAATCTGATAAGCATCTTCCCGATGCCGCTGTGTCTTCTTAACTGTGTTGATTCTTCCATGAGCATGCCCTTCTTGCATCAAGGCCCTTGAGAAGCCTTCTTATCCTGTTGGAGACCCGTTTATCTTATCGGCTTGGCGCTGATATTCAGCAAGGCCCCGACGGCTCGGCAATCCTCGCACGTTCCGTTCCCCACACTTCTGTGGATGCATGGATGCTTGAATATTCGTGCTACAGCGGAGGAGCATGTCCAGCGGTGCATGTCTCGACTGCATGGAAAGGGACAGGTCAACGATGCTGGCTCCTGTCCAGTTGATTCATCGTGATCGGCGTTCAAGGACTATGCAGTATTAACGGACAAGGATGCTATATGAACCCTCGACAGGGGGCTATTCGCTTGTCAAACTTCACCTTGAACGCTCTAATGTAGCAGCAGAAATTTTCACTCTGTATTGACCACGTTTCGAATGCATCAAGCTCCTGTGATTGCACATTGATTAGATTTAACCCGTATCCCTGAGTTCTAGATGCGATAGATCCGCGCCCTGCTCCAGGACCACCGCTTGAGGCGGCCCCAAGAGCTGGCCATATTTGGAGAAATTGGTCAAGAAATCCCCAACTCTGTGCGGCGGCTCTTCCAGTAGAGTTGTTCTACCATTGATAGAATTGGCGACAAGAGGTAAATACCGGTTCTCAAACAAATGGACGAACAGCGGCCGCTGGCAATTTCAGATGGCATGGGGTTTGCAGAAGCATGTCAATTAGATTCTCTGCATAACCCCAGTAACCATGCTTGAAATGATTCTTTCAGTACCCGTTTATTCGCGGCACGATTGGCTAGTATGCTTTGATCTCACAATTTATCGAGGGACCAGCTTGAGCCGATACTACTCTGTATGCTGCCTCTTGGATAGTCGGCAGTCATGTGCCGGGTTCTCCCCCAGAATCCGCACTTCGCAGCTGACCGTGGCTTCAAAAAGGCTTAAATAACCAGCAGGCTTGATCCACTGCCGTTGCTCGAACACGCAAATGAAAACCCTTCTCCGCCTCTTCGTCCTGCAGCCAGAGTTTCGCCTTGGGGGCTCGGTGAGTGATTCCTGTGCCGAGCGATCCCCATTCCCCCCGACCGGCGGGTGACTAAGCCCGTGTTAAGGAAATTCCGGCTCCGTAAAATTTTCTCCCCCGGGATCATCCAGATTCCAGTATTTTTTGCGGATTCGAAAGCAAAATCTGAATTTGTCCTCGTTAAATTGGATCGGTAGACTGATATCTCTTTTCAATTTCCCTTCTTTAATGTGCCTGATTTGTGCTTTGTGCTCTATGAATCATTGTTGACCTCAACACCCTTTCGTCATTCATTCGTGGATCTTGGAAGGGAAGCTTACTTTTGCATCGTTTTTGACTGGAGCAGCGAGAATCATTTTGTGCTTCTTAATTTTTGGTTAAATCGTCCTAATGGAAATGGAGCAACATAATGGAGACACTGCACACCCAAAAGGTATGCAATTGTATCTTTCCAGTACAATTGAATTGTTTTCGCCTCTTCATACTGACTGTTCGCCTCAGAGGTGTCGGACCAAACTAATCCTTCGAACGAGGTAACCGAACTGGCCAACGGAAACCATGAAGGGGAACAAGAGGCTAAGCAGAATGGAGGAGGTTTGTATGACCAAAATCCAATGTTATACGGCACGGATCTAACCTGTCTTTTATTAGAAGCTCCGGGACTTTTCCAGATCACTGTGAAACTGCCGCATGAGCCATACAAAATCCAGGTTATGGTTAGTCCACTGCCAGTCGAAGCCGATGTGGATGTCGATTAACTGATATGCGTGCAGGTATCGAACCAGGAACAGGTTCAAGATGTCCGCCAATCGATCGTGGAGCTACCCGGGACTTTCCAATACACCAGCTTCCACCTGGAGTATCAGGGAACCAGGATAAACGACTATGTTGAGCTGTCTGAGGTCAAAGACCTTAAGCCTGATGCCGAGGTAATCTTGGTGGAGGATCCATATACCGAGAAGGAGGCTCGAATGCATGTCGTGCGGATCAGGGAATTGATTGGCGCTGCTGGAGATCGGGTTGACAGCCTGCAAGGAATCTGCGCGGGCCTATCTCTTCACGATTCGGTTGCCGCTGGTGACGAATTGGCAGACGATATCTCCTCAAAGGCGGACTCCGCTAATGGTGCTGCGGATCATGCACTCGTTGGCTACGAGGTCACTGGCCCAGCTAACCTTCGGACTGTGCTTCCACGCAAGCAAGCGCCATCTCCCAAGACTGTCAAGTCTATCTCTCTCTCGCCCTGGAACCCTCCGCCATACCACCTCCGGCAGCGGGGCCATCTGCTCTACCTTCAAATCACCACCAACGAGGGCGAGCAATATCAAATCACATCCCATGTCTCCGGGTTCTTTGTCAACAAGTGTTCTAATAGCAAGTTTGACCCGTTCCCGCGGACTGCCCCTAAGAATTATACCGCCCATTCACTGCTCACGTTAATTTCGCTTATTTCGCCATCCTTCGACAATGCTTTCCAGGCTTTGCAAGAGTTCAATAACAAAAAGGATCTCTTGACTACATTCCCCTTCCAGAATTCGATACCACACAACCCCTGGCTTGTTCCTCCCACAACCAGTTTAGCGACTGCTCACCAATCCGACATCACTAGACCCCAGGAAAACTTCTTGATTGGTGGTATCGACAACTCCGAGACTCTGCGAGACTGGAATGAAGAATTCCAGACCACTCGAGAACTTCCCCGTGACACCGTGCAGGACAAGGTTTTCAGGGAGAGACTGACTTCGAAACTATTCGCCGACTACAACGATGCTGCAGCTCGAGGAGCGGTTCTGGTTGCACGTGGCGAAGTGGCTCCTTTGAACCCCACGGAGGGTAGAGACGCCCAGATTTTTGTCTATAATAATATATTTTTCTCTTTTGGAGCCGATGGCGTTGGTACCTTCGCATCCGAGGGCGGTGATGAGGCTGCCCGTGTTGCCGTGGCCAAGGATGTAATGGGTGTTAAGGCAGTCAATCAGCTGGACATTACGGGACTGTTTACTCCGGGCACTATTGTAGTTGACTACCTTGGAAAACGTGTAGTCGGCCAGAGTATCGTTCCCGGTATCTTCAAGCAGCGAGAACCCGGAGAGCACCAGATCGACTACGGTGGTGTTGACGGCAAGGACGTTATCGCGAAACACGAGGGTTTCACTCCGGTCTTTGAAAAGCTTTCGAAGGCATTGAAGGTCAAGAGTCATCCCGTCTGGGACAAAGAGGGCAAACGACATGAATTGGAGGGCAGCGTCGAAACAAAGGGCCTCCTTGGCACTGACGGCCGTAAGTACGTGTTGGATCTCTATCGCATCACTCCTTTGGACATCTTTTGGGCCGAAGATGCCGATAATCACGAGCCGTACCCGCACCGCATGTCAGTTCTTCGTTTAGAATTGGTAGAGGCTTATTGGAGAGCTAAGATGGCTCAGTACGTCAAAGAGGAAGTTGAGAAGCGCAGAAAGGCGAAGAAGGAAATGGAAGAGAAGGCTGAAGAGAATAAGACTAGCGGAGAGACTGGCGATTCACCTGAGAATGGTGAACCAGCAAAGGAGGGCGCTGGAGCAGACCAGGAGCGGGTCGATATTTCCAACTTCAAGCTGGCCCTGAATCCTGATGCCTTCAGTGGCCAAGTACCCCAGACAGAAGAGGAGAAGGAGGAGTGGGCGCGAGATGAGAAGGAGGTTCGCGATGCTTGTGACTATTTGAGGTCGAAGGTATTGCCCGAACTGGTCCAAGACCTTCATGATGGCGACGTTGGGTTCCCAATGGATGGTCAATCTTTGAGCCAGCTTCTTCACAAACGCGGCATCAACATTCGATATCTCGGAAAACTGGCGGAATTGGCGAAGGAGAAGGGAAGCAGACTCCATGCTTTGACTGCCCTGATGATCCAAGACATGGTTGCGCGTGCATTCAAGCATATTGCTAACCGCTATCTTCGACGCCTACCTTCGGTATTTGCAGCTTCTTGCATTGCGCATTTGCTCAATTGCTTGCTCGGAACCGAAGTGAATTCCAAGCCTCGCCCAGAAATGGATGAATCTCTCCGTGCGATTTATCCTGATGGCGACTTTTCGTTTGAGCAAGTTACACCCACTTCGCTCAAGAGCGAAATCGAGAAGCAAATCCAAATCCGATACCGCTTTACTCTCGATGCCGACTGGACTTCTTCGTTAAGGCATCTCCAACTCCTCCGCGATATCTCCCTCAGACTTGGACTTCAGCTTGGCGCTAAAGACTATGCTTTTGACCGGTCTCAGATTAAGAGCCAAGAGCATTCCCCCGTTTCCAACGGCACTCGGGCATCTGAAGAAGGTGGCAAGAAGAAAAAGAAGAAGGGCGGTGATCAAGCCTCTCCAAGGCTGGCTCAGAGTCCGGCCCCAGCTGTTACTTTTGTTCCCGAGGATATCTTGAATATCGTTCCGATTGTCAAGGATGCGGCGCCTAGAAGCGCACTTGCCGAAGAGGCTCTCGAAGCGGGTCGCATTTCCTTGATGCAAAACCAGAAGGAGCTTGGGCAGGAGTTAATCTTAGAGTCCCTCTCGCTACATGAGCAGATTTATGGCATTCTTCACCCTGAAGTTGCGAAACTTTATCATCAGCTTTCGATGTTGTACTACCAAACGGATGACAAGGATGCCGCGGTGGAGCTTGCGCGAAAGGCTGTCATCGTTACGGAACGGACTATGGGAGTTGATTCTGCGGATGCTATTTTGAGCTATCTCAACCTCAGTTTGTTCGAGCACGGAACCGGAAATACCAAGATTGCCTTGGTGTACATCCGCCATGCATTGGAGTTGTGGAAGATCATCTATGGCCCCAACCACCCAGACTCTATCACAACAATGAATAACGCTGCCGTCATGCTTCAGCACCTCAAGATGTATCCTGACTCCCGAAAATGGTTCGAGGCATCTCTTGCCGTTTGCGAAGAGCTGTTTGGCAGACAGTCCGTGAATACTGCCACCATCCTATTCCAACTCGCCCAAGCCCTGGCTTTGGACCAAGATTCGAAAGCGGCCGTGAATCGTATGCGTGATGCCTACAACATCTTCCTGAACGAGCTCGGTCCGGAGGATCGCAACACCAAGGAGGCTGAAAGCTGGCTCGAACAGCTGACACAGAACGCCGTATACATCGCCAAGCATGCCAAAGATATTCAGGCTCGCCGTCGTCGCCTGGCCAACCTTCCGACTCGTCTTGGGACCAAACCTCAGCCTCAAGTTGGACAAACCACAGCTGAAATGTCGAATGCAACGGAGGCCCGGGGTAGCTCGTCTCTCGACCCCCGGAGCATTGATGAATTGTTAAAGTTCATTGAGGGCGGAGAATCTAGCGCTCCACGCACCAAGCAGAAGAAGCGCGCCGCTGCTCGTAACCCTAAACTCCGGGGCACGAAACAATCCGCAATGAAGGCATCTTCTTAATAACCGAACGTCTATGCCCTGAAGTTGAAAGGGACTTGCACCAGTTTCCATTTTAAGATTATGTTTCATGAACAATGAATCCATTCAATTTTGAAATGATTTCGTTGAGTTGATATCTGAATGAGTGTCTTGGGGGTCAATCTTGCTCGTCCTGGGCGGAAAGGACTGGAGCTAGTCGGGAACTTTGGGAATTGTATATATCTCTACTCTACTCGATCATGGCCTAGCCTTGTACTTTTCTATGTATGAATATGTCAAAAGTCAGCATGGCAAGGTTTTGGGTTTGGGGCTGTTGGGTTTCTTTTTTTCTTGCTCAGTCTCTTTTTTTGTATATAGCTGTCTATGTACTTGGACAAAATGCTTACAACTGTATTATTATCGCTATTGAGCCAACGGGGATCCCTGCTCATATTATTCTATTCTGTAAATACTTCAAGCTGCTGAATATCCATTCCAGTCTCAAGCTTTCATCTCATCGTTGCCTGAAAGATTACGTAACCTCCATTCCCGATCACGTGGTGTTTGCTTTGTTTGGTGTTGGTGTTTATCCTTTTGGGGAATCCAACTGCTGAGAAAACATCCAAACTGCATGCTGTTAACGAGGATGCTGGACAGCATGGATATTTACATTCAATAGGCATAAGCATTTGGGCTACTATGCCACTGGTTTATTTGACTATATAACTATTATCTTTCATGCTAGTTTATTGCTTATGATCCCTCGAGCTGCCCCGATCGAGGCAGTTTCGGGGGTTGCAGCTCTAAAGGGAATCGTCTGTTTCTACTTGATATGCCCATTGGGATTTTTGGATAGATTCTACGCTGCCTTTGGAAGATGGGATCAAACCCTCCGCCGGTCCGTTCGAAACCGACAACTTCAAAGCCGCCCGCGACTTCGAAATGGTGCAACCGCGCGTTACGACCTCTGACCTCGGCGATCCTGCGTCTGGAGAAACACTGTAGGACGGCCTCTATACAGCCAGACGAACTGGTGCCCAAATCAGCCGACAATCCTCTGAACGGGTCGAGGTCGAAAAAGGATGGCGGCCGGACAAGCGGTGGGACGGGGGCGTCAGACTCCGAGTCTGCAAGAGACGATCCGACCTGGATACCGGGAAATGCTGGTGCTGGACGCAAGCGAGTGAAACATAAATATTCTAGCCATAAGGAAAGCTCAAGGGGCAACCCAAAAAGCCGATTGAGGCGGTCGATTCGGAGCCCTGAGGCGGAAAAATTGCAGCCTGGCGAGTTCACTGTTGCCACACCGTTGATTTTGGGAAAGAAAAAATGTGCTGTTGAGGAAAATCGGCACTTTGGAACGACTTGCCAGGTAGTAGAGCCACGATTGAACGAAGCAGCGCCTCCGAACCCCCTGAAGAATAAATCGATCCGCAACGGTTATCCAGCACATATACCTGTGGCTGATATAGACGTGTACGGCGACCCATCATACATTTCAATGGTGGGCGGAATACTCAATGCATTTGATACATTTCTTAAAATTACTTCGATAGAACAAAACCCCCATCAGGTTAATCGCGCGCCTTCCCTACTCTCTATGGCTTTAAACAAAACATCGGAATACATTTTTCACGAGCAAGCCCGCCTAGACAATGCGGAAGATAATAAGGAGGATATAGATGTGGCGGATATTTTCTTCACGGAGTTGGAGGATACCTATGCCGCCTCAGACCAAGGGTGGAGGCCCCTGAGAGCACTTGTGCGTGCGCATGGCATCCGTTTGGTTTGCGAAACTATCCGAAAGAGATTGATACATCCGCGGCTCGGCCGGCATATTATTTCGAAAATACTCGAGATACCTGCGAAGGATGCGGCAAATGCAGTTTTGGAAGCCTTACTGTCTGTTGTTCCGGCATTACCACCTCCTAAATCATTGGATAGCGCGCTTCTTGTCGAACAATTACATGTTTGGTCATTGGGTATCTACATGAGAGACGCGCCCAGTTTGACGGTGTTTTCCCGCGAGATTTCACATCTCTTGCTTCGTGGCGTTGTTCCAGCGGAATGGATGGCGACAACTTCGATGAAATCGTATCTGGTGGACGCTATTCAGTCAACTGTATCCAACGATGAGCATTCTGCAGCTTCTGTTAAGTTTCTTATGGCTGTGCTGCAGGCGTCTTTAGCACCGACGAGGCCTACTGAGAATTCGCCGGCAAATCTAGACCCGCGAACAGCGCCCAGTTTTGCGCCTACATCCCAATTAAATCGAGAAGGGTTACGTTCGACGGAAAATACAAGCGACCAGATGCGTGCCAACAATAAACTTATAGCTGATGCGTTGAACAATACTATTTGCAGTATACTTACGGTTTTGTGTAGTGCACACGTTGCTCGTTTTCGAAGCACACCGTCCACCGACTCGCCTATGTGGCACATCGTCACCTATCTGTCCACTGTCGCGCAAAGATGCACAGCGAACGGGAAGCTGGACAAGAGAAAGGATAGCTTGGGCGCCCAACAAATTCGAATAGGATATATTCTAATCGCACAATACTTACTTGAACACATTGATCCCCCAGGAAGTGCTTCGAAAGATAGATGGGAAGCCGCGCCAGGGCTTCTAAACGGTATTGAACACTTAATCCGGCTCAGCCCCAATCGAAACGAGCTTCTAACGGGATTCTCGTCTTTTTTTCTCCAAGTGGCTCGTTGTCTGAGCCGGGGAGAAGGAGAGGATGGGTTTACAACTATCAAATCATTAACCACGCTTTTTGAATCGTCAAGGCTTCGAGCATATCCGGCCTTTCGCGCTTCTCTGGCCAAGATAGCGGTGGATTTAGCGCTCAATTTTGCCGAAACTACTTGTTTACGCTGTCATCACGAATGGGCTAGCGACCTTCAGGAAAGGGTGGCTGATCTTGATCTTGATGATAAGGGGCTGGAACCCCTCACTCCTTCGTTGTGCTTTACGACCACCGCATTTCGGTGGGAAGACGGGATTGGAGAGTGGGTTGCCAGGACCCCTTGCGTGAATCGCAATACTTTCAATCGGGGAAATAGTCTCAAGGGCCCTCACCAGCCGCGGAACCTATCAAATGAGAAAGTTGTCAAATCTTCTACCACGAGTGACGACAGTGATAGTGAGTATGATAGTATGAGTGACTCCGGCTCTACTGCTGGTAGGTCGGAATCCAGCGTGATATCGTCGAGTTGTTCGCCTCCATTACTCTCACGAAAAAGGAAATTTGGCTCGAATAGCTGCGGGTTTACGGCCGACGACCATATTGATGTGATATCCGGCACAACGCCTACTATGAAGCGGTGGCGGAACAAGAACCGTAGTCGATGGGACGTTTATGTTGATCTCACAGATGGAAAAGTCCGTGGCCCGGTGACGAGAAATCAATGTGCGCTACAGGAAAGCAAGAAAACGAATAACAAAGCTCGAGCCATTGCTGTTTCTGTTGCGGTGCCGCCGGTCAATCCACTAAAGCGTGTTGATTTCGAAGTCGTCATCCACGTCAACAAAAGCGCCTTAACTCCAACTCCAATAGCATTTAGCGATATCGAAGAAGAAAATGACGTGAAGGAAGCAGAAGAAGAAACAGAAAAAGGGGAGGAGGAGGATGATGATGTTATCAGCGCAAGTGGTCCAACACTCTCTCAACGTTTCCGAGACGACAAACGCCGCCTTTCACATCTAGTACCTGTACCACAGCCTAAAGCCTATGCGCGTCGCCGTTCTTCTGCAAGACTAGCTGTAAAGAATCAGCAGAGGAAGGTTATACCTTGCTCCGACTGCGAGGATTCTAGCGATGACGAATTGAGCTTTCTTTGAATACACATTTGGAATTTGGAGTTTGTTCACGGCTGAGGCGTGTATACTATTTTATTGTTCTTTTTTTGCAGTGATACCCATTGTTTGGCTAGAGATTATAGATTCCACGATGGACTTTTTTGATTATTGTGTGCCCGCTTTGGGACTATTTGGTTCTTCAAGCAAATTTTGTATTATCAAAGACCATGGGGATGATACCAGGTCGTACTCGAAGAACCCTTTCATCACTACAATACTTGTTATGCTACACGGTCAGTCATTCATGCATTCTCAATATACTATTTTCCTGCATCGCCTTTCATTCCAGCCTGGACCCATGCCCTTGTTTCGGCGGCCTTCTTCTCCATCGCTTCCTTATCCTTCATATCCTCCTTGATAGTGTGTCTGGTCGGAACATGCCTTCCCTTCTCAACCCCTTCACGCTGCAAAAGTCTCTCCTCCCAGGCCTTCAGGTGCGGGAATTCATCGATATCGACACCGGACCAACCAGCGCTGGAAACCCACCCCCAGCAAGCAATGTCGGCGATGGAAATATGATCGCCAACCAGGTAACCAGACTTGGATTTGGCGAGATGTCCGTCCACCACGCCATAAAGGCGTCGAGTCTCGTTGACGTAGCGGTTGACACCGTACTCAATGCGTTCGGGTGCGTAGCGGACGAAGTGATTTGCTTGGCCTGGTATCGTTTTGTTAGCAATCATGTAACTAGCCTTGGGACAAGATCCTGGCCCCACGGTTGCTGATTACTGCAAGCGGGCGCTCCTGATGATGGGACGGAGAAAAGCGACTAACCCTGCATAGGCCCAAGCCCGCCCATCTGGAAATGTAACCAATTGTTCACCTCGTATGCCTCCCTGCTTCCCTTGGGATACGATATCTTATGATCTTTATCATACTGCTCGACCAGATACTGCAGAATGCTCCCAGACTCCCAAACGTTTATAGTCTTGCCGTCCGAAAACGTATCGGTGATGGCGGGAATGCGGCCGTTTGGATTAATCTCCAGGAACCAGGGCTCCTTCTGGGTCTGTTTCTTCAAGTCAATGGCATACACCTTGTACGGAAGTCTAGTTTTGCGCCAGGGGAGTATCTATTAGCATGATGAACTGTTATAACTATCGCCAACGATAAAGGGGACGAAAATGGAAGCAGAGCGTACCCCAACTCCTCCAGCGCAATGGAGATCTTGATGCCATTCGGCGTGCCCGTCGTGTAGAGTGTGATATTCGGCTCTCTAGCGGCCATTGTGGACAGTTTTTGAACTTGGATGTGCTTGAGGCTCTGTGAGAGACGTTGAAGCATTTAACTACTTAGTAGGAAAGTAGGGCGAGAGCAGTAAAGACGGTTGAGAATAGAGCTCTCTGGTCGATGGACTATATATACTTTCATCACCCAACTCTCCGAAGCCCTTAATAACCAACATCATCAGAGCGGGGCCAGAAGGGAACTCCGTCATCATCGTGGATTTCTAATCCATCGGCGCGTGCTCCCTCCGAGCCGGCGAGTGAACTCCGCGTAATCGAAGCAGCAATTAACTAGTTAGTTATTCAAGCTCTCTGAACTAAATATCAAAACGAAGCATAACCTCCTATTTACCTTTCAAAGCAATGAATATGTACTTGCGAGCTTACTACAAAATATACAATCGAATATGTACCCTAAACCACCAATCTCTTAAATAAAAGAAATATAAAGCAATGAAAACAAACTATGATCCAGAGAAACCCGTCACCAACATATAAGAGTGTGGAGAAACAATACAAGGAAGCGACTCTACCAAGTAAAGCATTCTTCCACAAAATCAATATGAGTTGGCGATTGCCTCTCCCGACAAGCTTTTCGGACATCGTCGCTCAAACTCCCCGTGCCGCAGACGAGCACTCCCATGGCGCCGACTTGGTTTTCAATCTCACCGTCAAGCACTGTTCCAATGTCGGGCTTTCCGGGATACATCTGCACTGTGCGGCTAGGGCTTTGAATTTCTTTCATATTCCGTGGCCTGGTGATGAAGAGCATTACCCGGAGAACCTCGCGCCGGCGATCCATGTTTAAGATGCTGGTCATCCATGACCTGACCCACTCAAGATGATCGGAAGACTGGATTATCCAGACAAGTGTCACCCGTCGTGCAGCGACCGTACCGTTTGCAAAGCCCTCAACAAGGTGCCGCACATAGGGTATCTGATGCGTGATGCCGACGCCAGCAGTGACAAGAAGGACTGTCCCCGTACGAATCGAGAACATGTTCCGTCCCATATGGTCCTTCAACTAGGGCTCGCAGGGTGAGGTGGCCATCCACATTCTGGCAAGCGCGATCATACAGCTTACTCGTTAGACCCGTTCTCCGTCGGACAAGGAGAGAAACAGTAGGTCTTTTCAGCGTGAGAGCATCTTGCTTCGTGCTAACGAGACTTTCCCCATCAACAAGAGACTCTTCAGTGTCGCTCCACGCAGCCGTAAATGGATGAGACATCCACAATCCAATCCCTGGAAGGTAAAGATAGAGATGCTGGCCCGGCTTAAAGAGCCACGGCCGCACCATTCTCAATGTGATGCGCATAGCATCACCTGGCAATATTTCGACAGTCGCAGTAGTTCCGCCTTTGCCCAGATTGAGATAGGCTAGCCGAATAAAACGTATGGCTCTCTGATTCTTAGTTAGCCAGGATTTACCAGCTTCATAAGATGGTAAGCTACCTCGAGGACCCAGAAAATGAGAGCAGCGTTCAAGTACCGACGTTGTGAAAAATGTTTTAGGTGCTGCCACAAAAATGCGAACGTCAAGATCACGAACAGGATGTGAAGATGTAAGAAAATTTCGTAAAAAGCGTGCCGTATAACAGAGGGGGAATGAAGTAAAATGACGAGAAATATGACCATGGACTTATTACTAGTCAGCTTTTAATCGTTATGTATATGATGTTTAGCTCTCTTACAATGAATCCCGTCCTAATAAGTTCGCTGTGCACGATCGCTGCCGAAACAGAAGGCCAGCCCGCTAAGTGACCGGTTAGAACTTGGGCAAACCCGTCTCTATCAATGCTCAAGGATGCACTCACAGGTATGCACTTTATCTACCATCCACGCAATGACATGGACAACAGCCTCTACTACCATTATTCGACCAAGCCAACGGTGGAGTAGATTCCACGTATCAAAAGAGACATCCAGCAATTGAATCAAAGGATTGTTTCTTCCCGCCATAAGCACCAGAGGAATGATGTTAGCCACTGCAATGGTGCCGGTGCGCGCTCGAACAGCAGCCAGAAGCTCTCCCTCAGCGGCCCCAAATGGTATAGTAACGCAGCATAGTGTGACATTCATTGCAACGATTCCAATCAGCAGTGCGGCTTGGAAACGGGTTGGAAGAGTACCAAAATTGATAGCAGCTGACAATCGAAATTCGCGATTATGCCGAACGTGAAATAAAGGTGCATAGATAATATGCTTTTTCAACCACGACCAGTAAGGGTCCGACCTAACGAAATATTTCTGCGCGTCATTGTTTAAACCTGCTAGCCGTCTGAGGTGTGCCGAAAAAACGAAAGCTGACCGCCCATATGAGGAAAAAGAAGAGGACGCATCCTCCAGTAAGTATCATCAACCTCCCAAACTTATCACTTAGTATGCTAGCTTCTGTCAATGTTTTCGAGCCTCCGCTCCAGGCTCTAGTGGGCCTTACAAACGAAGGCGAGTCAAATTTGCCAGGGGATGGGTCGGGTTGCAAATCTGCATTAGCGAACGCAACGAAGGAGAGCAGCAACATCTGTTTAAGCATCTTGATTGGGAGTAAACAGCACGCCGCTTCGCGATATGGAAGAGAAACTGGAATGGATACACGGAACGTAGATATAATTGTCCCAAACACTCCGGTGAGATTGTAAAGAAGCTTTCTGCAATTCGGCTCCAATATCAGCAGCCAAATATAACAGACGGTTGCAAAAGGGCAATAAAGATCTGCAAGGTACTGGGCATGGTTCGAAAGCTCATTCAAATGAGGCCATGAGGTCGAATGAGGGTGTGCAAAATTGGGAGATCTCGGTACTGGCAATCAAGATAGCCCGACACGTAAGACGAAGGCCTGCAAACCAATAGCGGGAACTAAGCCGGTATAATAATCAGGCTTCGAACACCGGGAAGGCGATTGTGTCAACTATAGGCGTATTAAGACAATCGTCTAGACGGTTCTAGAGGTCAGGGGCCTTTTCGTAAAAGTTGGAAGACAGCAGCGTATCCGCGGGTGCGCCAATATTTGCTGAATAGCGCTCTGTGTCAGCGAGGGTCGACGATTAAATGAGCGTTGAGAGAGGCAGGAGAATCGACAGCAAGCACAGCGAGAAAAATTAATAAATAAAAAGCGAGTGACAAAAAGAAACTACGTCTGAGGTATTCATTCAACGATAGTGGAATGGGATTGAGAGAACCGACACAGGCCACGGCGAACCCTGTGGAAACGGGCGAAGCTCAGCGATCAATTGCTTGTTTCGCTGAGATGGTCACTCATCAGGACAGGATAGAGATTCTCCCCAGTCCTTACTTCAATGAATCATGGGAATAAGATAACAGTCTCTGTCGCCCATTTAAGGAAAAAGGAGGCTCCCAGGAAAGGACTGGATTGTTTCTACCTGGGGTAGCAGGGTTGATGCCAGGCTATCCATGCTGTATTTGCAGGGCGAGGGGCGAGAGATCTCCCGAGTCGAATGCTGGAGATCGAGTTCAAGCCCGTGAGCCTGTTATTCTCCCAATCCAGACGATCTTCACATGCAGGTTTTTCGAGGGGCACTTTCAACGCCAGCTTATGTATGTCTGACCTCGAAACGCCGATGCCAGTATGAAGTCAACTCGGCTAACTGGCAACGACCCATGCTGACCAGCGCTCAAAGGGACGGAGTATCTTCTTTCCAGGTCCCTTTGTTAACAGCGATGCGATGGTGTAGTAAAACATTCCGGGGCAGGTCGTCCGCGTTTCTCATCATGGCTTCAAACCATTGCTGGCCAACAACCGTCTCAAGAGGGCGAGGTACCCCTTGTCAAAAAAGGGGATTCAAGCTTCGGGATGCGATTCAACTGTGAATGCTTAGCCGAGCTATTGAAACTATTTTCGAAACAAGTCAAAGGGAGCAGATGCCCAAGAGTTTGTCTGATCTTCGAAGTTACAGGGAATGAAGTCGGTCGATTCAGGGGCTTGCTGACTAGCAACCCGTTCGCTAGTTAGTTGGCGATGTCTCCTCACCTTTTGATATTACGAAGCCACAGATTATTTGCATTGCTGAAAAGACATTAGACGGTATAAACGGAGTGGAATCTGATTGCAGGAGATATCCTGGTTTCGTCAACCCCAAGTCGCACACCTAGATCGGATGCCCTAGTTCCAGTTTCGAGAAGTATACTTCTCAAGTATGCTCTTAGAAATGAATACTTCAAATATAGAGGATGGGTTGATATACCTTGGGGTATGGAATTGCTCCCAATGGGGGAGGCTAGCATGACAACAAGGTGGCTCTCTTCGCTTGGGAGTTTTAGCATCGATAAACCTCCAAACATCTCATGGAATGTAGAAACCAATGCGCGTGCATGTTTGCTACTTATCCGGAAGCCCGAGTCTCATGCTTGCGAGACAATCCCACCGACATGAATATGGACATTATGAGAGCTGACTTCCCAAAGCTCCCGGTTACGATCATGGTGACCGTACCGAAGATCAGCTTGAGTGGGCGACAGTGCGTTTTATATCCCGAATATATGCTTATCCATGGCTATTTCTGCTAGCTTTGTTCATCCCTATAATTGAGAGCTCACAACAATGTTAAAGACGTTACCGATATCCACTGCTGCACCATTTTAGAAAAACTTAGTGAAATTGGCTTCTGGGAATAGTGATGGAGCTGCTTCTGCGCCTAATATCTCCCCTCCCGATATCACGCCTGAGCGTCTGCTAGTTCTTATCCATATTCAATATCCTCAAAGTACCAAACGGCCAATCCTCTTCTAGCAACGGACGTGGCTTGGTGTGCCATAGTCAAATAAAAGGTCGAGAGAACTGATGGAGAGCAAAAGAATAATCAACAAATTGTTTGAGCGGCAAACGGTATACGGGACTTTTGGTGTCGGAGGGGTAAAGTACTGAAGGTGATGCAGAAAGATGGATGAGAAGCAGAGTTGCTCGCTTTATGAACCAGAACACGACTCAAGTGTGTTGACTTTATGCTTGCATCATCTAGTTGTCTCATCAGTAGGTCGATACTGGCAAGGGCCAATGCGGCTACGGTCCGCAAACTGTACGGCACGGTCCGGCGATATTCCCAGGCCAGCGGAGACAACCAGTGCAACGAACAGATGTTATTTGTATCCATTAAGCTCCGCTTGATCGCTTGGTAAAGGTGACAGTGATACCCTTGAAGTAGCGATTCTGGCTTTGGTCGCGAAGTTAAAAGTATCATGAATCGGTTGCGTCGGCGACCAGCCTTGACGCAATGAGGTGTTGTACAGCGGAACTGTACTCCGTAGTAGAGATCAAAGCTGGGGGCCTGTTGCCATCAAAAGCACCCATTTCTACCCCTGACCCCACGGATGTTATCGAGTTGGATAGCAAGGGGGCTGAGGAGAGGCCGAGTATTCGAATCTTTTTTACGCCCCAAGGGTATTTCAACTGGAATCGGTGGCACGCTCAGCTGGACAGGAATACGCCAGGAAACAATCGTCGAAGGAGATTATAGAGCCACTTCTTCCACCGAAATATTTGTATCTGTTTTCTGGCATTTTTCGTCGTCCACAACCATGCCCATACGAAGTGCCCAGCCCCTGCGCCCTGTTTCACGAATCAGTTCTTCCGCGAGCTTCAGTCGTCTCTCATAGGATTTTGGTTCGCCGTCCAATTTTATTATCCTGCCGTGCATTTGCAGGCTATCTGTCCTTGAGTTAACGACTGCTAACAGTCCCACAGAGATAATCAGTAGAGCCAAAATGAGAATCTTAGCCAGTTGGCTGGCATTGCTTGCCAGCGCCGCATCCAGGTACACGATGACGGTGGCTACGGCGGAAATCCAGTTTTCCGCAAGCTGCGGATCTCGCATCCACTGCCCGGCCGTAACAGCTTTCAGGTCGTCAACCGCACCCCTCAGTCGTACCCAACGATCTTGACTGAGAAGAATCAGTAGATCTCCCGACCTTCCCTCTTCTTTGACGCCAAACCAACCGGGCACGCTGCGGCGATGAATAACGAGGATATTGATGAATCGAGCGACAACGAGCAGTAGAATTACAGAGAGTCCCCACCAGTCTCGAGATAAGGCGAGAACGATAATCACGCCCACCGCCAGGGTCACGGCGGTGAAGTAGAGAATGGCGGATATCGTATCAGTAAATTGTCCCAGTCCGAGGAACTTGTACCACTTGTTTCCCGCGGGGTTTAGGGAGACCCAGAGAGGTGTCAAGTGGCCGCTACGACTGACTTTTTGCAAGAAAAAGACGGTGGCTGGATTCTCAACCCGGAAGACGTAGTCGTCCGTCAACGAGCCGCACACCGGGTACTCCCCGCCATTCAGGCTGGTTGCCATTTGCTGTCGATGAATTCCGGGACAGACGACCAATGCATCGAGCAACTGTGACCTGCCCATCAAAGCAGTACGCTCTTGAAGAGTTGCGATATCGGCTAGCGCCACGAGCCCGGCAGCGTCGAGGGACAAATTGGGCAGTTCGGGGAAAGACAGAAGCTTTAGAGGTGCCTATTGCGGAATGAGTATCAGTACAGTCAGGCGCCAGGAGCTGTGAGGGTTCCTTTACCATCTTTAGATGTGAAACAGTTATTTTATTTGGGCTGAACAGAAGACAAGCGAAGCCGGCCACAAACACAAACGAAAGAAAATCCAAGAATACCATGTTGCCAATTGCGCTAACTAGTTGTTCTTTGCCTAGTTATATAATATATGATGTCTTTGGGCGTCGGGCGATGATCCCAGGGGATGATGTCTAGCTCACCAAGTCAACCAGGATGGGTAGGAATAAAACCAATGATACGTCTGGAACCAACAGCCTCAGCCTCCAGGAAAGGAACGGAAAAGCCACAGAGAACCACCTACAAGAAGAAGATTGGGGGGCTGAGCCTGACTGAACCAATACCCTCCAGGGAAGAATGCACTCAAGCCAACATATGCAAAGAACGGATTGGTTGAATCTGCCGTCTGGCGCAGCCTGCCCTTGTCGAATTTGCACTCGGGAACCTGTCGGTCACAGCGGGGCTCAGATGAGGCTGCAGACGGGAAATATGGATTCAATCTCTCCCTTCATGACTCTGTTCTGATTCCATCAGCTCAAGTACAGAGTAGCATTTCCACAATAGTTAACCATAAGTGGTTGACGACTACTGAAGTGACCTGGCTCGATCTCTTGCTTTCAGTCTTTCGATTTATCCCTTTTACTTGAATCCACAAATGCGGCTTCTAAACCCACGGGATCTCACATTTGAAGAGTTCCCGCTCAGCGAAAAAGTGGACTATGCTATCTTCTCTCACACCTGGTACTCGAAACCCCGCAAGGAAGTCCTGTACCGTGAAATCAAGAACAAGTTTTCCGGAAGGGTAGTCGTCGGTCGAGATGGCTTAGTGAAGCCTGGCATGAGTGATATCCCTTTTGAGCTCAAGAAGGTGGTGTATTGTTGTATGCAAGCAATAAGAGATAAAGTACAATGGGTCTGGATTGATACCTGCTGTCTTAATAAAGACTCGACAGCGGAAGTCAGCGAGGCGATCAATGCCATGTTTTCTTGGTATCGGAATGCCAAACATTGTTATGTTTATCTTTCTGACGTCTGCCTATCGACTTTCCGCCAGTCATTCAGGAAGAGCAAGTGGTTTAAACGCGGGTGGACTTTGCAAGAATTAGTCGCGCCTCACAACGTCTATTTTTACGACCATGATTGGTACGAGCTCGGCTCGAAGATGACGCTCAATCGCCTGATCTCCGCTACTACGAGGATTGACGCGGAGACGCTGATGTGCCAGCGAAGCCTGGCGGAATCAAGTATCGCGAGACGGATGTCCTGGGCATCGGACAGGAAGACAACTAAACCAGAAGATATAGCCTATTGCCTCCTCGGGGTTTTCGGTGTCAATATGCCATTGCTGTATGGCGAGGGCGGCGAGAAGGCGTTTATCAGGCTACAGGAGGAGATCATGAGAAGGTCAGAGGACCATACAATATTTGCATGGACGAGCCAATGCGAACACCGTGGGAACAACCAAAACTGTAATCGGAACCAAATCTGTGAAGAGCAGGGCCAAAAGCCTCGTGGACCCCTCGCCCGAAGCCCATCGGAATTCGCAGACTCCGCAGACTTTGAGCCGATTCTTGTTTCAAACGATATGGGCCCACCGTATATCATGACGAATCGGGGCCTGCGGATCTGCCTTCCTCTAGTTCCAGATGAGAATACCTTTATAGCCAGGCTCAACTGCCGAGAGAAGGAGGGCCTACATGTAGCTATCAGGCTTCGGGAGTTAACCTTTGAGCCAGGAAAGTATTATCGAATCGACTCAAACGGGCTATTGGGTGTGGATGGTGGTCCAGCAGAGGGACAGGAAATCTACCTGACGCAAGACCATGCAACCAACAACAACCACTTTTGCCTCAATACGAATCTAACCGATGAGGGCTTCCATTTTGCTTTGAAGCCCGAGGGGAGGTGGAAAGAGGAGCTGAACCTTCTTAAGTTGCCCGTCGGCACAGAACACCAGACGAGGGTCTCACTACTGATCGCCAGCGAGCAGTCCAAATCTAGAGACGGTTTGCATTCTGTTTAGATTCCCCCCAGACGACAACATTAATCCGGCCTGTGACCTTTTTGAATTGCTCCTAATGCCAGTTTAAATGTGAATGATTACCACCTGAAACCTGGTGTTACATATTGCGACTTTAAGCTTGGACAAAGGACAATTGAAGTTCGTGTCATACCGGGTGACCCTGTGAACAAACTGATGGTGACATGCAGGACCTATAGCATAAGTACAAATCTATTCGTTAAGCCTCCATCTCCTTTGAGACCTTCATGCCCCCACGTCACTGTTTTTGACCTTCATAGACAGGAACTTCATAGACTACAGCAGCTACATCAATCTATGAATTCTATGCGTGACTTACGGTGAATAGCAAAGTGCTTTTATGTACATATATAACTACTCCATACATATTGCTCATGATACTAGGCAGATTTGAACTCGCACTAGAAAGGGCAGTGACCAGTCAAAAGAACTGGCCAAACTTATTAAGCAGCTTGAGCAGGACAGGAGACCCTATTTTTCATTCTATGGTCATATGTGCTTGATACTCTTTTTGCACTGGTATAAATTATACCCATTGATCCTCACAGTCAATCGGGAAGGGGCAGAAACCAAAAAAACCAAAAAACATACAACAGCCAGCCGGCAAGTGGCTTGAGCACAGCCAATTCCTTAGTGGGTGTCTGCCTAGGTGAGTTGGAAGTGACACCACTGGATTGCTCACTCTCTTGTTGCTTGATGATGAGGCAGTGTGGGTGCTGTTGGGTGATGGTGCTAGATGAAGAGCCGCAGCAGCAGAGAAAGTTGCGTAATGGCAATACGGAGTACTGCGCTAGTAACAAACGTCAACTTCAGTTGTGGAGACGATCAGATAACATTCCTTGGCAGATCAGATAACTCCGTACTCCGTACTCTAAGCGTCGAAGCTCAAGAAAATTCGAAACCAAAAGACATTCCTTCTACTCATCGGTCCGCTCTGAGGTTGCCCGAGCACGACGGGACTTCGCCACTTCCTGGAAGCCAGGAAGGCGTGCATAGGCGGTGGTCAACAAGGACCACAGAGCTCCCCGCAACCAGCATCCTTTCAACTACTCCAAAACACTCTCCACCAACTGCTCCAGGTCCTCACGGTTGAAGACAATATCGCGTTCTCCATTGTCGGTCGGGTCCCGCAAAAAAAGCTCCGGGAAATGGATCACCAGTGCGGCACTGGCAGAATAACCATGAGCACTCTTGGTTACAATTGCCTCTTGTGTCTTAATGGGATGAGGATGTGCTCCCTCACGTAATTTCCACACCTCAAGGTGGACACGGTGATTCCGAAATATTGTTAGGGTGGCCACCACTCTCACTTCCCCCTGGGATTCAGTCAACCACCAGCTCGCATCGTTCCGTAATTTCGTTGCCGACTCCGAATACCCAACCTCAAGAACCAGGCTGGGCCATTTGTCTGATCGGGCGGCTGGGAGTGTTCGTGGTAAATAGGACACGTCAGGGCCTTTTCCGCGTGTGGCTCCTTGCACTTCTGCCGTTCCACAAGGTTTTAGATTGAGGGAAAAATCCGGTCTCATCTCGTCTAGTTTGAGGAAAACAAATCTTTGAAAGATGCTAGCAGCAACTTCATGCTCACGAGAAGGCATGACAATTATAAGGCAATGGTCTGTGAAATCTTTGATGTGCCCAAGATGTTTTTTGTTGGAGAAGTTGCGTATTGCATCTGGAGCCATATTCTTGAACACAACATATTGGTCCATGTTATGTTGTTTACCAACACTGTCAATGTGTTCAATGGCAGGAGCGATTGAGAGATGCCGTTGAAGAAGCTCCTCAACGTCCTCTGCGTCGAGACCTTCGGCATCATATTCACTGCTTCCCGGAGGCAGGGCTTCAATCATCTGCCTGACTTCATCCTCATCATCTTGACCCAATAAAAAGTTTGGCAAATCCATTTATGTGTGATGAGGAAGTTAGGATGAACAACCGCATATTTAAAAAGAGGGAGGCAGATGGCAGCCAGGTGAGGAAAATCTTCTGTGTGTAGTCGTAGCCTCGAACGAGTCCTTAAAGACCGTTCGGATTCCATAGTAACGTTCTCAGGCGTCCGAGAGGGATCCGAGATTATATAAGCAGATCACACTTATCTTGGCGCCAATACAGTCACGTGTCGTATCACAGCCGCTAAGCTATAAATGGAGTAGCGCCATCTGATTAGGGTTTTGCAGGCTTCAAAACCCTTGGCCTCAGCTTGCCACTTTACATTTCCAGCATCAACGTCCATCAACGCAACAGTTGCTTACCCTGAGCAGTTGAACAACATGGCCTGGCGAAATCAAGGAATAACTGGATCCAACAACATCCCTCTGGGTCGTCGCCGATTTGGAGGTGATGATTCCCAAGGTGATAGAAGTGAAACCGTAACCCCTGATGCCGGGGTCAAGCGTGGGAGAAGCCCTGTTCGAGGTGAGTACCCTCTTGTCGTCGTGTGCATTTCAGTCAGTGATGCTAATATATCATTTTTGCAGCTGATCCTCCTGTCGATGGGATTAAAAAACGAAAGAAGCGGAACAGATGGGGAGATGCCCAAGAAAACAAAGCGGCAGGCCTGATGGGTCTTCCGACTTTGATAATGGCAAATATGACCAACGAACAGTTAGAAGCTTACACTTTGCATCTTCGTATCGAGGAAATCAGTCAAAAGCTGCGTATCAACGACGTTGTACCTGCGGATGGCGATAGGTGAGTAATCCCTTTGAGCAGTCTTCCGTTTCTCCTTAGCAGCTAACACTCTTTCCAGGTCTCCATCGCCAGCTCCACAGTACGATAACTTTGGCAGACGTGTCAACACCAGGGAAAACCGTTACCGAAAACGTTTGGAAGACGAGCGACATAAGCTTATTGAGAAAGCCATGAAAGTCATTCCTAACTATCATCCGCCATCTGATTACAGGCGTCCAACTAAGACACAGGAGAAGGTCTACGTCCCTGTGAACGATTATCCAGAAATTAACTTCAGTATGATTACTAACCCTCTAACTCCTAACCGTTCTTTCGCAATCATCTCGCTTTATTGTTCTTTTTCAAGAGCTCGAGTCTCTACTCGAGCTGTTTCCATATATGTTTCATTTCTTAGTTGTTTCAGTTTCTACTAACCCTGCGTGACAATATCAATTTGATGGTTTTGAATACTAACACTGAGCCCACCTCCGTTTTAAAGTTGGCTTACTTATCGGACCTCGAGGCAATACCCTAAAGAAAATGGAGACAGAGTCGGGAGCTAAGATTGCCATTCGCGGCAAAGGATCTGTGAAGGAAGGCAAAGGTCGTTCTGACGCGGCTCACACTAGCAACCAGGAAGAAGACCTTCATTGTTTAATCATGGCAGATACCGAAGAAAAGGTGAACAAGGCGAAGAAATTGATCCACAATGTTATTGAGACAGTGAGTTTCAGCCCCATTTTCTTTCATTTCTTCTGACTTGGACTAACAAATTGATGCTAGGCCGCGTCCATCCCGGAGGGCCAAAATGAACTCAAACGGAACCAACTTCGTGAACTTGCCGCCCTTAACGGAACGCTGCGTGATGATGAGAATCAGGCATGTCAGAACTGTAAGTTGCCTTCGCATTCTCATTTTCAATTGCCCTAATGATATTTTCACAGGTGGTCAAATCGGACATCGCAATACGATTGTCCTGAGCAGCGCAACTTTCACAGCCAACATCATTTGTCGAGTTTGTGGAAATGCTGGGGCATATGGCGAAAGACTGCCCTGATCGTCAGCGGGGGACAGACTGGCGTAACCACGGTCCCAGCGTCCGTAAAGGCCTGGGAGATGCGGTCGACCGGGAGATGGAGGTAAGTCCACTTGCCATCGGTTAGTTAAGGGACCATTCTAATTTTGATACAGCAACTTATGCAAGAATTGTCGGGTGGTGCTTCGGGAACTGGCGAAGCACCTCGACGTATCGAAGCTGGCCCTGGTGGGTACGATCAGGGAAATAACTACGGCGGCGAACAACGCGATTTGAAACCATGGCAGCGAGGGCCTACCGGTGGTCCTGCGCCTTGGCAACGACGGGACGACCGTCGAGACGACCAGGGACATCGCGATCAAGGTGCGGCACCACCGTGGGCTGGCCGTGGCGACCGAACCGATCGAAGCAACGATTCTTACGGATACGGATCGCACGGTGCTGGGTATGGTGCCGCGCCTGGTGCAACTGCCCCGTGGCAACCAACAACAACAGGCACCTCCCCCCCCCGGGTGGGCAAGCAGCGTATGGATATAGCGGTTACTCTTCGTTCCCTGCCCAGGCTATGGGTGCACCTCCAGGACTTAGGGTGCCCCACCGCCGCCTCCTGGCATGGGAACTATGTACTCCGGATACCCAGGAGCCAATCCGCCCCCTCCGCCACCCCCGGCTGATGGCCCACCACCACCTGTAAGCCTCCTTTCTTCCCAATCCTTATCATTAAGCCTATAACTAACCATTGATATTTAGCCCCCAAGCGATCAACCTCCACCTCCACCACCTGCGTGATCAGCTCGTTTTTTCGAAGCCTGTTCATAGCATCCCGTTTGCAACAACAACAACAACAATACGTTTCTTGTTACGAGATACCAACGTATTGTAAAAGAAAAGAAAGGAAAGGAAAACAAATCAAGTGTCTGGAGAACTAACTGTTTCTAGGATTACTTGCTGTACTAATTTTGCGCTAATTCCAGGTGTTCTTGTATCATGTACTTGAGACTTGTTTTAAGGATTTCAAAGTTGCATTGATTTACTAATTGAATAATACATCGGTATCATTTGATTTCGGGTTACCTTGTAGTCATTAGGAGCGTCTGGATTATTCTCAAATGGCACAATCGTACTCGACCGGGAGCAGCACCGGGGCCAAGCCGCGATGTAGGTTATAATTCAAGCTACTCTGTACAGTGCTATCTGATCATCTTCGACACCCAAAAAGTCCATTAGCTTTTGACCGACGAGGCTCGTTTGAAAGATGTCAATGTATGGAGTAGCCTCAGCCCATGGTCCACTCCTGTGCATTACGTGGTCCTTTTACTTCCCTCTCGCTGCATGTTCGTTGCATGAATTGTATTGGCACTTACATTGCGACTTGCTTTGTATCGGAACTGCTGGCCAATATCCTTCTGTCCGTATTCTGCTATTCCGACGAGATAAATAATGATCGCGATGTTGATTCAGCGCGGCTCTTTGGGCGCCTGTGGCTTGTCGCTCAAAGTGTATTACTAATGATAACCAGCCACTGAGAGGCGGTGGCAGGGCGGTATGACGTCAACGGGGCCCTCTGGGTGGTCGCTTCGGATTTGAGTAATTCCGGCGTGGTTGAGTTCAAAATTGCATTCCGAAAACACACCAGACAGCCAGAGGGGACGGAGAGGAACTGCTGGAGAGGCATTCTTTTCCTTTTCTTCCATATTGTATATATGTACGACTGGACATAGCCCGTTTCCCCTTTGTCGCTACTTTTTTTTGCGCTTCTCCTTCACCTTGCTGACCCCAAAATGGTCGACAACGGACATTCCAAAGCCGCCAGCATCCATTCTACAGCCCCATCGCATCGGATGCCATGGCCGTCTCACAGCAAAGGCTCGCTCCCCTCAGTACGTGCATACTCTCCGCATTCCCATCGCCAATCGCGCGATGCCGGTCGGCCAGACTCGAGGCGATCGGCAATTGCTCCCTCGCCCGGGGTAGCGCTGGACACGACTGGAAACACCAGTGACAAATGGTGGAAGATTCGCTTCTTCCAGGGAATGAAGAATGATATCAGGAGAAGGGCTCCTTACTATTGGAGTGATTGGAAGGATGCATGGGACTATCGAGTGGTGCCGGCGACGATCTATATGTATTTTGCAAAGTATGACCCGGACAATACACGATTTTTCTATTTCCCTCCTCTATGTCCTATGTGTTCATTTCTTCCCTATGTGCTCCCTGACTTGCTTCCTGCTCGTTATTTTCCCTTGCTCTGATATGCCTGCCTTTCTTCTGCTTGGCAAGGTCACCTTCCAAACGTCACAGACTCCTTGCAGGCTGGCCCTTTTGCTAGACTGAACCTGCGCGGCACCATGGTTCAAATCAAAAGAGCAGAAGCCAAAACCACCATCACCAGCAGCTTGCCACCGGGATTTGATAGAAGACTTACCATAACGACAGTATTCTACCCGCTCTTGCGTTCTCGTTAGACATGTTTGAGAAAACGCACGAGAGCTATGGAGTCAACGAGGTCCTCCTTGCTTCTGTTCTGGGTGCAGTGGTTTTCTCGCTCTTTGCTGCTCAACCGCTCGTCATTGTCGGTGTGACCGGTAATATTTGAACCCCGTTTTGCCCAGGTTGCCAGATTATTCGGTTATTGAGACATTTCTAACGGGTGTAGGTCCTATAACCGTATTCAATTACACTGTATATGATATCGTAACACCAAAAGGCACAAACTACCTAGCTTTTATGGGCTGGATCGGAATGTATGTTTCCTTAAGTGGCGAGCTAATTACTTCCCTCCCTCTGGCATATCGGCTGACAGTGCTTCAGCTGGTCTCTCATAATGCACTGGGTCCTCGCAATCACCAATTCCTGCAATGGTCTAACCTACGTAACCCGATTTTCTTGCGATATTTTCGGGTTCTACGTAGCATTTATCTACCTTCAAAAAGGGATTCAGGTTCTAACCAGGCAATGGGGGATGGCTGGCGAGACGTCGGCGTATCTCTCAATCATGGTTGCACTCCTAGTCCTTATGAGTGGTTTTATTTGCGGCTGGGTTGGCAATAGCCATTTTTTTAAGCGGCCTGTTCGCAAATTCATCGAGGACTACGGCACGCCACTCACGATTATCTTCTTCACGGGATTCGTTCATATTGGCCATATGAGGAACGTTCCAGTGGAAACTCTGCCTACGACGAAAGCATTCTTCCCAACATTAGACCGTGGTTGGCTGGTACACTTTTGGGATATTGATATTGGCGACATCTTCCTGGCGATTCCGTTTGCCGTACTGCTAACAATTCTCTTTTACTTTGACCATAATGGTGCTCATCCCATTCATCTATTGTGTTGTTTTAGAACTAACCTGTCTTCTAGTATCGTCCCTGATAGCCCAAGGCACCGAGTTTCCACTCCGTAAACCGGGCTGGCTTCCACTGGGATATCTTCCTACTTGGTTTGACCACCGGTATCGGCGGGATTATGGGGAATTCCTTTTTCCCAACGGACTTATACCCCAAGCGCCTTTCCACACCGCTTCACTCTGCGTCACTCGTCAGATTGCAGATGACGATGAGGTCAACAAGGGGAAATCTGTCCGTATCAATGACCATGTTGTCGAACAGCGAGTTAGCAATCTCGCGCAGGGCCTTTTGACCCTTGGAACCATGACTGGGCCTCTGTTGGTGGTTCTGAACCTCATCCCGCAGGCAGTTATGGCTGGCCTATTCTTTATCATGGGCGTCCAAGCCCTGCTCGCGAACGGTGTAACGCAAAAGCTCCTGTTTCTGGCACAGGATAAGGAACTAACTTCGTCCTCGGACCCGCTCAACAGGATTGAACGCAGGCTTGCCATTTGGGTGTTTGTCGGGGATCGCGCTGATTTGCTTTGGCGCAACTTTCGCAATCACTCAGACCATTGCTGCTATTGGGTTTCCGGTTTTTATTCTCCTTCTTATCCCTATCCGGACATTCTGGCTTCCACGGTGGTTCACGGAATTGGAATTATCGATCCTAGATGGGCCCACTGCGAGCCCTTTTACTATGGAGAGTGTTGGCGGGACACATGGTCACAACCCGGATGAGCATGCGAATAACTCGGGTTTGATGGAGCGTGTGCCGGGATCGAGAGCGCAAGTTCTTCAGCGAGAACGAGTGCGCGTGAGATGGCTCGAGAGAGGAGAGCGACGAACTTGAGACGCGCGAGACCATGAGAGGCCAGCCCCTGATGTACCGATTGTCCATCGATATAAGTGTACCACGTCTCCCCAATGACTCCAGCTGGATTTGAGCAATGGGAGATTTTAGGGATTGAAGCGACGAGAAGCTTCAAATGTACTCGGTGATGCGATCGTAGAC